GTTGCATAACTTTCTGTTTACCGCGTAGGCGGTAGCGAGAAAGTAAAAATAGCAACCTAAGTCACGCTATGTATCTATCCATCTTACTGAGGAAACAATATTTATTTATAAATCGGTTAATATTTGTAAATTAGTAAATTCTATCACATAAAATAATACACTACAGTGAATTCCAACTGCGGAAAATTGGTATAACCTGTTTTTGTGGAATGTTTGATTCTACTCACTTTCGTGATTTAAAAAGAATTGAACACTCTGTGAATGCGAACCCAGTTTATGCACGTAGGAAATGTATGTTTTCATATTTGTTTGCCGGGACTTCCACTTTCAGCCTGCTGATCTTGGCAGTAAGCCAATCGTTACATCAGAAAAACGTTGATATGCTACAAACGATGGACCGATAAACCTACAACCTCGAGTCAAGAATAACAGTGCACAAACTGCATCACTGATATCCCTAAATTGGGGCGAATAGCCATATATCATTGCCACATGTATACTCAATCTAGTCGCTTCTAGAAGAACTAATGTGTATAAAAAATAGCAATCCAAACAGTGAAAAAAGTCGTAGTCATATACGCCTCGACATTCTTTTTCGTTTACTTATTGGGATATTTTGAGTCGAGCAAACGAACATTTTCGTTGCGAAAAACAATCTGCAAACAATATGCTAAGTTTCGTCAAAACACCTGGATTTTTCTGGCCAGCGTGAATTTATCTCTACATTTTTTCGTTTCTTTGTTGTGTGAGTGGGCAAAGGAGGGCAAACGATGTGAGAAGTTTCGCCAAATACGTGCAGTTTTCCGGCCAGCGTGATGTGGGCCTGCGCAATTTTCTCGCTTGTACCTTTTTTTGTGTTGGTGGGTAAACGAAAATCTTGGTTGCGCAAGCCTAAGAAAACGACGTGCAAAGTTTTCTTAAAAAATATGTTTTTTTAATTTTAAAATCAATTGATTTTTTCGGCAAAGTCACGGGGACTCTTTCTCTTCTACACACTTTGCTACTACTTACCTCGGCTCTTCTGAAAACATTTCTCGTCGTTAACAACTTTGCTGTCCAAAAGACACTGCATCCTCGGTACTGATGCCAACGCTTGGGCCGTTCTGTGACCTTCTTCAGGGCGAAATGCTTTACCTAGGCACCGGTGTCCGGTATCTCTCATTTCTCGTCGTTCAGTCGACAAACTGCTTCAGTCACAAATGTTGCAAGTTTGACGCGCATCAGTGCGCTCAGAGATAACACCCATTGCTGTTGCTGCGGCGTTGATTGGGAAGACCTAGGGTTCGAGTCTTGGCGGTGGCAGATTTTTAACACTAGCGAAAAGGCTGTGTCAATGTCAGACACTGTCTATGGGTGGTAGAAAAGGAGATACATTCAGTCAGTGTCTATAGGACAAGAATGTGAGCGACCGGCCGCAGTGATTGGTAGATTTCCATGGTTTCTCCGATCAATTCCAGGCGTAAAACGGCAGTACGGCGGGCCACGAACCCCGCGCAAGCTTCCCTTCCTCACTCTTACCTCGCCTCCCCCCCCCCTGCTTTCGCACACACGAACACATAGAAGCACTCTACTCGCACACATGTCGGGAGGCCAATCGGCGGCTTCAAGCGTGTCCCGGATGGGACGGTGCTCTGCTGGGAGGAGATACCTGGAAGGCGAAACCCACCACACAAGACGAATGTAGGACAGCGCCGGACTTCAGACCACGCCGGACAGGAGTGGAACACTATCAGCTCAAAGGTTATGACACGCCCACACACACGAAATAATCAGTCAAGTCATAGACTCGCTCGCCTCGGCTTCTCTGGGAAAATATCACATCACTTTTTTGAAAAATTGCTTCAGCCACGAGCTGTTGCGTTCTCGATGCACTTTCCGGCACGAAATACGACTGCTCAATACACTCGCGCTGCTGAACGAGGGGATAGCCTTTTCAAGTAACGGTTGATAGAATAACTTCGGAAGCGCATCCCTTCTTCTACGCTCACTAACGGGACTACCTTTGTGAAAGAATGCTGGAAGGAAATTCATACATCAAAAACGAGTCATTTCATCTTTCTCGCAACTAATTGTACATGTAACAATGAATTTCATCATTTATTGTGTTTGTTGTAATCGAAGTATATCAGACATAGGAAAATATTTCACTATCAAAATACTCTTCAAGTACGTCTGGGGCTATTTCACTTTTGGACGGCGAACTTTTTGATAAACTTATATTTGTTATGTAAGTATATACTTTATACATTATTATACAATTATATTTTTTAAAAGCATGAACTATTACTCAATTGGCAAAATATGTACTTAACATAATAATTGAGGTGTAAAATATAAACAATGTAGTCGAACTTCTTTGTTTGTTTAAGATTCGTTAGATAATATTGATATACAATAACTTCTATACATAGAAGACCATTTTTCTAAATATTAATTTTATACATGACATTTTTGCAATATTTTAAAACAATTTTAGAAATGAAAATCGAGGACAAAATGTGGAATAAACCGTATGTGGATTACGACAATGATTCTCTCCATGTAAGGGTTGTATAGAGCTATACCAAAACAGTATAAAACATTTCATATCTGCTGCGGTCTTTCAAAAAAAAGTCTATATATTCCCTGTCATAATCGCACTGTATAAATCATAAACAATAGCCTTTTATTTCAGTTTGCCTCATGAAAGTGTTCCTCTAAAACTTCGATAGCCTTGTATGAATACGCGTACTTGTTTGCATTTTTCTTCACGGTTTAGTTTGTTCGGAGGAGGGGAGTGCCCCGCCCCCTTCAATTCCAGAGGAGGCGCACCCGCTGCCTGTCCCACATATCCGAATCCCCCTCATTATCCGCCCGACTGCTCCACACAGATGGGAGATTGTTAAGGTAGCAGCAGTAGGGCCGTCGCACGTCGTGAATGTTTGCATTCCACTGATAAGTTACAAATCTATACGCTATCCTGAAGGATAAGCACTTAGAAACAAATTCAAACATACAACGCACTACTTAAAAGGAGCACAACGAACATTACTCTAGATATATAAGGCGTTGATATTTTTTATAAAATATTAAAATTATCCGAACAAGGGCATATATTAGTCTCATTAATGACTAATGGAAATATTTTAAACCAGCGGTACTATAACAGCACATACTTTCTCGCATTGTATGGAACTTTTGCAATTTTCGAAAATTCGAAGAGTTCTACGAAAATGAGACCAGAGACATTTTTTCTAAACGTCCTTTGCTCTATCCAAGCAAAAATTTAAATAAAAAAATTTGAATACATTTTTGAAAATATATTGAAAATGTTAAGGTTTTATGTAAATGTATCCTCCTAAATAAAAAAAATCATTTCACATCCTCAGCTTCACCAGTTTGATTGGGAAGCATACATTTTTGAAGAAATCGTGGCGTTGTTTAGGCGCTAGAGATGGCTACAGGCGGCAAACTGGACGGACGGACATTTTAATTTTTCGGTGTATTTAAGACCTACAATACCTGGTGTTGAAGTAATTTACAACATGTAGGAACGAGATTTATCCGCCTTTTACAAAATAAGGCCCAATAATAGATTTCTGACGTAAAATCGGCTCTTTCGATTGCAGAATTACAATGTTACATTTCTTGTTCTTGCCTATTTTATGTATTATTGTTTTATCTTATTGACCCTTTTTTTGTTGGCTTATATAAAGAACAAAATGAAATTTTTTACATTCTCATTTTTAATTAAATCTTCAATTTCACGACGTTTTGACAATTGTGATATATTATCTCCATTTTTGTTAACCTTCAAGACGACAGAGGCGAATGCCGTGAATTCTAAAGTGGATACATTACAAGTTAAAAGGAATGAAGTGGAGAAGAGCACAAAAATATTGCGACGACAGCAAAGACTGCTTTTGAAACTGAAAAGAAATAGTCGTCCATAAATTACATAACACTAAAGAGCAGGGAAGATGATAGATTGCATAGAGGTAGGGGGTATTAGTTTCGTGTTCTGTAGCATTGATATAATTTTTTTTTACATTTTTCAACATTAGTTATAATTCCTTTTTTAGTTTTGTTGTAAAACATTAAAAAATGTTAGCTAATTAGCTTTAAAAAGAAAATAAATTTAAATTACTCGCTGTAAATTGTTATATCCAGAAATATTATTTCATTAATTTTGATTGACTGTGGGATTACGAAGAAAATATTACAAAGTGATTTGACGTGTATTCTTTATACTGAGACTTTCATTATCATTAATTTTAATATACAACACAAGTAAAACAAACATAAATTGGTTTAACTGTGCTATAATGTAATTGCACTTCTTGCATTTACAAGGGGGGGAGGCGTCGCAAAAAGCGTTACGTAATTATTTAGGGGGGCTTCAAGTGAAAGCGTGTGTTACAGGGGGGATTCCAAATTTGTGTGATGTAATTTATGGACTGCTACTAAGATAGAGCCCGGAAAACACTACTTACCCCCCAACCAATATTTTCAAGTTGGCACTCCTGGTGATTCTGACTGATGATTTCAGAGTCGAAGCAAAAATAAATTTTTCCAAAAACTAAACAAATATGCAGTTTGAGCTACAATTGACATCTGAAATTTTTCTCTCCAATATTTTAATATATTATTCAAACATTCTTCTGACATTTTTTCAAACTACTTTCCAGTAATCCAATTTTGAGTCTATTACACAGTCTCTTTTCATTGTCGATCTGCACTTTAGCCATTGCAAATTTTAATTCTTAAATTGTATCTTATATTTGTAAGAAATATTCACAAATTTTGAAAAAGTTTATATTTCAAAATTGTAAGTTATAGATTCAAAAGTAATGGTACCATGAAAATAGTTTTATTTATTAGATGGAAAATATTGGATTAAAGAAATAATTTGTCAGCATGGAAAAATTGCTATTCATGACTGAATACTGAAGAGTATGTAATTGAAGACTTCTTTTCACTTTCATCCATTCATTATTTTCAAAACTCAACACATTTCTGAAATTTTTTTACCATTTAGTATTAAATATGATTTTGAGTCTGCCGATGATACCAATACAATGTTATGTATTGAAACTACAGAAAAATATTTTGCTCAAACTTTCCTTGCTATTTTTCAGGCATTACAGTAAAAAAATACATCAATTGCAGCAAAACACATGAAATGTTTAATAACAAATATCTTTATTATCTTCTACAAGCTGAATATATCTACTTCAATAAATTCTAGTTATAAGGTTTTTTCAGCAAAGTCCCACTGCATTGACAATTGACAGTAAATCTGTAGCTTCAACAGTGTTACAAGAACTGGACATGAATGGCAGAATAGATCACTAGGCGAGGCGGTATTGCTAGATACTTTGTAATTATTCTTCATTACGTTTGATAACATCACATTGCTGACTCATTACATTAGTACATTATTTAAACCCATGACTCATAAATGTACTCTGCTTAAATGTTGAGAAGTCTATGACTTCCCCCCCCCTTGATTAACTTTTAAAGAACCAGAGTTCCAAATATTCAGAAGATTAATAGCACAAAGAGCAACATTAAGCTGAGCATTGAATTTATCATAAACTTGTATTTTTACTCTTCCACAAGGCAGAAACACTTGTTTTACAAAGCTCCACTGAAACCTCTTGGCAATCACCGCCAATTGGATGTTGGGAAAAGGAGATATAATGAAGGTTTCAACCATTAGATAAATACACTTTACAGAACACAGTGGTTTTAATACACAAAGAGCTCTGTCAAGATCTTCAAGTAATCTACAAATATGCTGTAGCATATTTAGAAGACACGTATGCACACGTCTCATGGTCAATAAATTATATTCCACTACAACATTCAGTCCAAGATCACTAACACACAATTTTCTCATATAATAAGTCTTGAAATAACTAGAAGTATGGCAGCTTGCCTCAACTTGTGCTCTTCATAAGCAAATAAATCAAAATATTTCTAGTCATTCCTTGACCAACTCATGTATTAGGGTGCTAATGTTCTGATGATAACAATATTCAAAAATACACATGAATTTAATGTGGACAATGGGAAGTTGTGTTCTTTTTCACCCAAGGAGGTGAGCCTGACTGACAATGTGCTGCAAGTGTCCTTTTCTTGAATTGCTACAAGGTTCTCTATATTATCATTCTAATTCTTCATCAGCCACTGCAGATACTGTTGCTGAATTTTGAGCTACAATACGCTGCAAAAGAAATAATAAAAAACAAAATTTAATAATTATATTAGTATTAGGAATATATCGTAGAACCTCCTATATCCAAGGTAAAGACATGGAAGGAAGTCCATGGAAAACTGAACATAGATGAGGATCTCTGGGAACCCTAATGATTGAAATAACTTATTGGTTCATACATAAATAACAGTGAAAAAACAAAGTACATAGTTAAATTTACTTTTCCATTAGGCAAACACTGAACAACTGGATTCTCTAATAAACTCAGAATAATGGAAGTTCCAATGTAAATGCAAAAAGATCAATATCCTTTGCTCATTTCAGAATATTGATAATAATACAACATTACATCAGAAAAATATTAACGCAAATGATATGCAAGATTTTATACATATATATGTTCTACAAGTTAGAAAATTGGTCTTATGAATCAGAACAAAAATAAACAATTCTAACCTGGCCAAGAACTGGGAGACGTTGAAGCAAAAGATGGAACACTTGTGGAGGAAGTGTTTGTTGCAGAACCTGCAGAAGCTGGTTTGGCTGGCCACAAACTGCCACTGCATTGCCCAAATGTTCTACACCACCTTCCAAGTCTCCTTGAGCAAGCAACTCTTCTCCCAGTTGAACCTACAAATTGAATATCTTGTTAACATTTTATTCACTAATAAATTGAATTTCTTTTTCTACTAATGATTTCTTTAAAGAAAACATTTATGTACCTCACGTAAAAAGAAGCTTTGAACGGCTTCATGATCTTTCAGGTCAGGTAATTTTGTTCCTGACATTTTGGTGGCTGCCTTTCTGGCTTTTCTTCCTGCAATGTTGTTTAATTCATAAACTTCATTAGCTAACTAATGTAATAATAATATTAATGCAATTGCAATTCACACAGCACATATCACATTGATTGTACTAACACAAGTTAATTTAAAAATACTTTTACTACAAACTTCAATAGACAAATCCCCTTTATAATAAATAACAGTATAATTTTGTATAACTCCACTGCTACCAAGAGAAACGACAACACTGTCCACATTCTAGCAACTTCATCGTTAAGAGTGCATAAATACATAAAACAATAATAAAATTGCTATTTTTTTAAACCATTGTTCTACGATTTATACAAGGCATTTCCAAAATATTAAAATGATCAAATAGCATAAGTCACTTGCTCTTAATTTACTTAAAAAAAATTGGTCAAATGTAATTTGAGAATGTTTAATTTTCAGATAAAAATTCATTTTTGCTGGCAGCCTAATGCCTAGAAAGTTGGGAGTTATGATAATAAACTTGTAAATAATAAAATAAATCGAGTAAATACAGTTTCAAAAAGAATTTTCTTGATAAGCAAAAATGAATTCGGCATGCATTCCTAGAAGCAACGATTTTTATTTGAATATTGAGGAACGACTTTATTAGGTTGTTAAGATTCTATTTATTGACGCAAATATTCGTGTTTCGAAAGATGTGACGATTACTTCCATTATGAAATTTATTTTCCATAAACATTAAAGAACTTACTTTCTCTCAATTTTCTCTTGAAGTTCGGATCACTTCTTCGTTTCCTGTCAAAATATATGCAGTAACCAATAAATAACGTGCCGCAAATTCCAGCTGCAATGCCTATGGCTGTTTTTGAAACCATTGTCATAGCTCAATTCAATTTCAAAATTTCCAAAATATTAACTTAAACACACATTTCCCACGATACCCAAACCCGACACACTTCTCTCACTGGTTTCCATCCAGAGAGATTCTAAAGCAGCTAGTAAAGTAACACGTTGTCTCAATAGAGAGCAGAGTAATTCAATATTGCAAGAGCAACGATTTAGAGTTTATGAATTACGAAGGTTTCTCGAGGCTCAAGTATTTTAAAAATTCAATGTTTACACCAAAAATCTCCTAGTAATGAAATCTACAAACGACATACTTCTGATTTTTCATTATTTAGCTTTGAACAATTGATTAATTATCAAAGAAATTGTATAATTGGTATCTTGACATTACGATTATCATGGATATTTCAAATCATATTCCAAAGGGAGCCACTTATAATAATCTGGTACTATAACAATTCAGAACTTGATACTAAGAAGAACGTAGAACGAAGAAACGAACGAAAACAGGTTTTAAGTAACTTAATTGAAGTGCGAATTTCTTGACATTTTAAACCAACAGTCTTTGATTTGTATTGCCAGTCCTATGAAACTAAAAATCACAATTTTAATTGGACTACAGAACAATCCAAACATTTTCTCGACGCTAAAGAATAATTTTACTTACCATTAACTATTTAATTATTTACAAAAGTTTTTTAAAAACTATGAATAATTTACAATCACTGTAATATTTTTTTTATTTCATTGCACATTAAACGTTTATTTATTGAATGTTGGCTACACTGGTGAGCTGAGATGTGACTGGCAGAGAGTTGTACATGGATTAACATTCTTTCATGGTATTGGTTGGTGGATTGATCGCTGGGGGGAGTTGTCAACGTATGAATTCAAATTTGGGGACGGGATTGTGGCGTGTTGGACCGAGGGTTTGTTTGTAAATGTTTGTTGAGGAATGTATGGTATTTCGTGAGTGTCGGTTTTAATTGCTTGTGTTAATTGCTGTATTAATAATGGAACTACTTGATGAATCTAAAGAAAATATCCAGCCACTGCGTCGTGGGCGAAATATTTCAACGTTGAATACGGCCCTTCAAGCTCAAACAGATGCCGAGATTCATCATCAGTTAATGAAAGAACGCGAGTAAGTTTATATGTTAAGTAGTTAGTTATTATAATTAGATATTTCAATTTTATTTATTTTAATATTTCAATTTTTATTGATTTATTTTCCACATGTTAGGGAGTTCGAGATTTTAGTACGATCGTACGCGGGAGATGATCCTCTCCAGCCGTGGTACGAATATGTATTATGGGTTGAACAAAACTTTCCCAAACATGGTCGAGAAGGAAATCTGAAAACACTACTGGAAAATTGTTTATTGCAATTTAAGGATAATGAACAGTATTCTCAAGATGTGCGATATATTGACTTATGGACTAGATATGTATGTATTCATTTCTTGTTTATTGCATGTGAGATTCAAATTGGCTGATTTGGTTTGTTTTATGTATGAAATGGCATATTTAACTCCATCTTTGGTTATGTGGAAACTAGTGCAATTTGGTGAGATGAATTGGTTTGTGGTTAATGTTTCTGATTCAAATGGAAAGGTTGTGTTGTGTTGTTTAAAATTTGCATGTGTTACGGCAGCTGCACACATTTGGTATTTGCAGACTAGCTACTTTCCGGAAAACTGGGAAAAGTTGAAGGATTTGTAGAAGAATCGTTAGAAGTCAGAGAAAATTGTGATACTTATATAACTAGTTACTGTAAAAAAGAAATAGTGACTAGATTTTTATTTATAAGTTTAATGCTGCCCAACTACTATCAGTCTGATTTGACATGTAGCGAGTGAGTGCTTGCTAAACCCTTAGTTATGGTGATGGGTTGCTTGTCATTTGCTGAGGTTGCAATGGGCTGAGCACATCAGCTGCTCGAGATTGGGCAAGCAGTAGCTTGCTACTCGTCAAATGTCAAATGCCTTTATATTAGAGGTGCTTATATCAGATAATGAGTTGCTTATATGAAAACTAGATGCAAACGACGCTTCATCAATATTGTATTTTACTGATGCTCCAGAATCTTTTAATTGTATGAGGACCATAATATAAGAATTGTGTTAAATTTTAACTGAAAAATTATGCATTATTACTCATTTTCAGATGAGTTTTGCTGATGATCCCTTAGGCATGTACAAACAAATTCATGCAAAAGGAATTGGAGCCCAATGTGCAATCTTTTATCAATGTTGGGCAGAAGAATTTGAAAAAGCAAATGATATGAAACGTGCTGATCAAATTTATATAGAAGGACTTAAGAGAAATGCACAACCCAAAGATGAATTGGTTGCAGCACATACGTAAGTATAAAAATTTGAGCAGTATGTTATGATTAAAATAACGTATCATTAATCTAAATATTTACATTTGCTGTGAATGCTTTAGTAAAATACCTTCTCTCACTGAGTGGTATCCATTGAGGAATAAATATTTTTTTATTTATATGTATGTGTGTGTTTGTGCTTTAAAATTAGTAAATATTAAAGCAATGAGAACTCTGGTAACTGCAGTCAAAACAATTAAAGGCTTATCTGATATTTGCATAATCTTCTAAGGTATCTTAAAAACACACACACTACACACTTTACTTTTAAGTTCCAATTGTGAAGCCACCATATACAGAGGTGGTGGAAGGCTTGTTTTAAAGCTTGGAAAGCAGGATAATCATTAAAATAAGCTCCCCCCCACCACACAATCTATTGGGAACTAATAAAAATTCTATTCTGTAAGTGTTGAATGTGGATGTGTTTCATTTCTCCACAGATTCTCATGATTCTGAGAAGATCTTCAATTTAGGAGAAAAGAAACCATTATCAAAATGTAATGCATGTTCTGTGCCTACCGTGCAGGCATGATTGAACTATTGACTTTTAAAGGGAACTTTCTTCTTTAGTAACTTTCAGGTCAGAGTTGCACGTAGTATTCTTGGTCAGAATCCAATAATGAATCAACCATCAGAAATTGAGGAAAGAACTGCATTGTCCACATTAAGAGCTCATGGCCGTAAGAAAAATATGGTGGATTCAAATCGCGTTGGCAACAGTATCAGACGTGCCACTCCTGGCGTGTTACGGCCACATGCAAATGTTGCTTTGGCAGATAGAAGAAATGGCAATGTGCAAGCCTCTAAAGTTGTGGTGTATAATGTAATTGAATTTTCATTTAATACTATTTGTATGAAAATTAAATGTTAAATTATGGAATTGGTTAGAAATGGTAATATTTGTATGGCTCTTGTTTTGGTTCAGGATGAAAATGCTCCTTTTACTGATGCTGTAGCACATCCAGTAGTGAAAACATCTGTTTCACTCTCTCAACCGAAGTCAGAAAATAAAGAAAACACCTTGAAGCCAGGACGTTGGAATGAAGGAAAATTCAAAAAGAAAAGTTCTGCTTCTGCCATTGGAATGAGTGGTGTGCCTGCAACACCTAGGGCTCCTTCTTTTCATGGTATTTCATTATAATGAAGTTGTCAAAATTGACTGGCACTGATAGTCATCACCAGGGCCCAAATGTTTATGACCTAAAAATGTTAGAAATATGCAATCATTTATGACCTACAAATATGAAAGTATGACTTAAAAAAATTTTGGTTTGGGTTGTAACCTTCAAAATCTTTCAGCTGCTTAAATAACCGTTAAATTGAAAATACACTTATAAAATCTAGTCCATTCACAATTCGTGCCTTCTCCTTTGGCACCCCATGAAGACAGTTTTACCTGTTAAAGTTATTAAGTTAATTTTCTAGAAGCAGTTGACCTTGGCACAAAACCAGACATAACACTTCCTTTGCACCTGGCGCTTTCTTTTTTCTCCATCTTCATTGCTTACCCTCGTAATTGACATATATATTTATAGGATAGAGATACAGCAAAAAAAAATTGTAAGGGATTAGATAACAATTAGGAGATTAGAGCAATTTTGTTCAAATCTTCGTGTGAAACGGTGGAATGTTAATGAGACCAATTAAGGATAGTCACTTCGGAAAACCGATAAAAATTGGGGAATGTTTGGAAGAATCTTTAGAACTTGGGGAATTTTGAAGATTATAATAATCTTAATATAATTACATATAAATTTTTCATGCAACAATTGTAATCATTAACTAGCCAAAATGTTAATTTTGAAGTTGCCTGTTATTATTGTTATGAGTATATTGTTGATTTTTTTGTTTTGTTGTTAATTTAAATTTATAATTGCAGTTCATGCAGATGAAAATGCTGTAATGCCAAAAACACCGAAGACTGATATTGTAGCATCTAATGTACTGAAAATGAGGAGGCATGTTTATGAAGATGAAAAGAATATTCCAATTGCCATGTTTGAACTACCGGATCCTAAAAAAATTGCAATGTATCCAAAGAGTAAGGTGGGTGTCAAAAATAATATACCCTTTATTCTTTTCGCACAAATTTTCTTAATATTCCACATCAGGGAGTGTGGGGAGATGAGGGCTCTGGCTATGTTACGGCTTAAAAGGGTGTACCAACTGTGGGCATAAACTTAACTCGCCAAATCATGCTGTGAAAAATGTATGATTGTTTTGAAAGTATGAGGTGGTTGTTGCCAGCATTGTAAATTTGTACATGCTCTTCTAAGTCAAATCTAAGTATCTCAACGTGCTGTGTTATTCAGTGCTGGGTGAGGACTAGGGAGCTTGTGTATCAAGAAAATTTGCGCAAGTAATTCATTTGTTTAGTGATGTCTTAAGAATTGTTCTTTTTCTGTTGTAGGTTTATTCAGGAGGAACTGAATATAGTTTAGAAGAATTAAGAGCAATAATTTATCTGAAACGGGAGAAAGAAAGGCAAAGTGAGTATTGAGCAGGCTACCCTCAAAAACAGCAATAAATAATTGTCAGATGTAATACCTTTTAAACTGAGCTCTTTTGTGATCTTTTGAATGCTTGGATTGTGTACTTTGTATTTTCATATTGTTATTATAGTACTTGAATGGTTTTAAGATAGGTTTTGAACTTGTAGAAGAATGGTGTTTTGATTTTTAATGTTTCTTGATGACATGAAACGTTTTGTGCTTTTCTTAGAGCAATCGCATGAAAACAAAGATGTGGATATGAGTTTTGAAACTCAAGATGCTGAATTAAAAGTGTCCTTTGAAGAAAAAGTTGTTAGCATCAATGGTGACCAAAATTATATATCGGAAGAACGTCATTGTCAACAGTTGAATATTCAGCAGGAGGAAGTTTGTATTTCTGAAAGGACTGAAATGAAGCAACTGTGTCAAAATAATAATTTTGAAATTTACACGGAAGCCGAAGAGGAAATGAATGCCAAGATGAAACAAAGACCTCTGAAGGAGTTTCAGCAAAAGGAAAGGATTCCTGCTGCCGCTCCTGTGCAAACTTCTTTTTTGAAAGATCTTCCTGCTTCAGGATTTTTGAAAGTTCCCAGAACAATACTGGAACGTAAGGAGAGTATGGTGAGTTTGTTTATTTTTTAAATTAGAGATTTGGAGAAAATTTGTAATCACATGATTGTATTTTGTAGAAATGATTGAAATGTTGGAATTACGTTGAATGTAATTGATGGGAATTTTTAGAAACATTATTGAAATAAAATTGCGCCTTAATGATAACTTTAATAAGAAGTATAATGTGCTTCTATGATACATAATTGTTATTGAGGAAGTGAAAATGAAACACGCAAGCTGAACACAACACACACAACTCAAAGACAGATGTATCATTTATTGAGAGAATACAATAATACTGATCAAACAAGTACGTGCGTACAACAGCACTATACTGACACTTACTGGATATGTTTGGCACAACATTACCAACATAAGAACTTCCAACATTACTTGTACACATAACATACACAACATATAATGATAATGAGCCCATAATTATATGTATTAACATTGATCTCTGCAGCATTGTTGTTCTGGGAAGTTTCAGGGATAGGTGGATTCCTGCTCTGCTTGGTAATCACTACTGTGTAAATTTGTTGATTTATTTGTTAAAGCAACATTTCTATAGAAGGGATTTTCCATCATGTGAAAACCTTGATATGATATTAGATAAGGTATTTTGTGCAAATGTGAATGTCTGAATAGCAGTATTACTGAACTTTTTATACCGTCTTTTGGATTTTGAATATAAATTTTAAATCCCAAAATTATTTTATGACAGTAGATTTTTATTCACAAATTATTACTTATCACATTTATTTTATTGTTGAATACACAAGGTTTTTTTGTTTTATTTGGGACATTCTATTTCAGTGTTTTCTTCTGTGTTCAACAATGTAAAAAGTGTTAATTTGTCAATCAAAATATGCCTTAAATAATTTTTGGATTCGAAATGTATGTTAACACTAGTATTCTGAAAGTGTAATTTCCTTGCATTTTCAGGTACCATCAACTGATGATATGTTTTACAGTGGACCCTCATTTGAACAGAAAGAAAGTGATCAGTCCCTCACAGTGCACACTAAAGCTGTGTTGAATGAAGTAAAAGGCATGTGGGTGTCCTCACCTCAGGCTGAATCAAATCCGCCACGAGGTAAATTTCCTTATTATGTACAATTTCAAAAATGTGCAGCAAGTTCATAGTTTTAGTGCAGTGTTTATGATACAATAATTTTTTAGCATACCAAGAATGGGGAAATTGTAATACTGCATTGAAAAGTGGTGAATTTTCATCAGAAAAACTCTAATTGTGAAGTGTCTGACACCAAAAATGTGAATCGACTTGGTTCCTATTTGTAGTAAATTTCTTCTTTAATACATTGTGAAGTCAAATCCACGTTTTCTGGAATCTTGATTGTATGAAATTTATTGACGACCAAATGAATGACTGTAATGTTTGAATAACATTAATATGGATTTTCACCAAAATTGATATTACTCAATGGATCTGGCAAATGTCACAGCCTCTTGAATTTGAAATAGATGGTAATTGATTTTCGGGGGTACTTGATACAAAGCCTCGTTATAAAGCCAGTTTCAAAGTTTCCTCGATAATGGCTGGAAATATTTTTTTCAATTCATCCCCCCGCCCTGCAAATAGAGTAAAGAACACTTTAAAAAGTAACCCATTATCCAAAAATGGATTTTAAAAAATGCCAAATTTCAATAAATACACGTATTCTGAATTTTTGCTATTTGGTCAAAATTTTTCTCATGTTTTCGTACAACAATTCAAAATTCAACATTGTTTCTTATGGAATTCTGTTCTTCAAAATTAGATCTTAAGGACACATTTTTGTTAAAATCTCTGAACTTTCTTTTAAAGCATGGGGTATGATGGGGTATGTTTGTGTGACAACTCAGGTGTAGCATATAAATGAAGGGGTTTTGAACCCTATGTACTTCAGGTTGAGTACCAGTGTGTGCAAAAGTTTTTAGAGGGTTCCCTAGGGAATCCCTAGTGAAGGTTTTAGTAGTTGTATAAAATAATGCAACAAATACAAGTCAGGGAAGAAAGTTTGTGTTGTTGTAGCACCACTAGTTCTTAATTCTAATTTTGCTTCTAGAGTCTGCTAATGGGAACTTCTTGGTTTTGGTTACATCCAAGTTTTTCTTTGTAGATTTTTGATTGGATGATGTGTACTATCAGTTTTGTATCGTTATAGGTGGAAGTCTGCCTGTGCTGTAATATCTTGTGATATTTCATTTTTAGTGCACATCTGCTAATACTTGTTTCGATGTATGTGTATGCTGTTATGTTTTCTACCTAAAAATTACTTTGCTATATTGTATGCCAACTTTAGTATAGAACTTTACTGTTTGTAAAAGAATACAGTATGGAAAAAAATACGCAATTTCCATAACATGTCCTATGAACTTGTCACTTTTCTCATTTCACTTGCATTCGAAATTAGCATAAGAAGATTCAGTTATAGTGAACCTGAACCTCGGCTATAGTGAACGTAGGAAACACAACGACCTGGAAAAGAATTCCCTCCTGGAAAGGATTATATTGCCTCAGTGCTGCCAATTCCAACACGAAGGCAGCTTGAAAAAAATACTCGGGCAAAGGTCATAATTAAAGTTGTCTCCTCTTAGGTGAAGGTAGAAGACACAAATAGGTACATTACTTATGACCCTATGCCACTCAGTTTCACTGCAGAATCAATGGTCGTGTCCTTTGGGCTACAACTGGCTCTTATTTGCTTTATTTACAATCTTCATGTTGCTTGATAATCCGTTGAATAAAGTACCTTTAGTTCTATGTAGGCGAGGGGAAGCACACGATTGACAGGCTGGTGATATCCACTGTGCCTTGCAGGAAAGCGATCAGTTTCATTAGCTGCTTGCGCCATCTTGCTACCAAAAGCATCTTGTATGTTATTAGGCGAGTGAAAGGGGGGAATAGGTCGGTATTTCAACAGTGCAAGTGGCATTGAAGGGTGTTGAGATTACATTACGACACAGAGGACAATGCAGATTCAAGTATGGAGAGAGCACGAACTGTGGAGAGGGAACTAGAGTAATTACTAACTTAGTAAAAGTGTAAATAATGTATTAAAATGATTTTTTAAGGACAAGTAAAGATATTGAATTTGTCAGTTGCAGCTCTTAATGTATTTTGCTGTATCTATATTAATTAAATCAATCATTATGGAAAAATTTTATTTAATTTTGACATCATTGGATATAGTGAATTAAAAATGTCCCAAAAGTTCATTACATTCAGAGTTGACTGTACTTCTCATGGTGTACTACATTTTCGTTGAACCATGTGATCATGTGAAGAAATTCCAAAGCCATATACAAGTTAGCTAGCTGCAATTGAATGAATTGACCTCATTGACAAGCGCATGGATCGAACCTTCACTTATGTTACTAGCAGTAGCCAGGCAAAAGCTGTCACATTGATCCTTTCTTATCCCTATGTTAGCTTCAATATAAAGATAAATTCTGGGTTTTCTACATAACAATCGCCATCCATTGATGTTAATGTAAGTTTTGATTTTCTACATTCATTAACATTTCATAGTTTATCAGTTTCAGAATTATATTAGTTTTATTAGAATATTTTAAATGACTTGCAACAATTCTTTTCAATGCTTTATTTTGAACTACCTTAAAAACATGCGTTGTTATCAAAATGATAATAGCATCATAAGAAGTTACTAGTATCACTTTGCATACATTTTTGTTTTTGATTTTGTTTCAATTACACAGCCAACAATACTGTTAATTATTTTACTAGGTCATGCCTACACTTTTTGCTGAGGTTTCTTATATCTGAGGGAGTCATAAGTCCAACCACCTTAGTTAATGGAGTCTCTATTGATGTATTAATATTAATGTAAAATAAAATTAATATTTTGTTTTGTAATAGTTTTAAAGCATGATATTTTTTTTAAAAAACTATTTTTTATTGTGAAATTAACTGTTAATAAAATCGTGGGGAGAAATAGGACAAGAAGTATATAGATTTTCTTGGAACTAATTTGAATGTGGTAGGGAAAAATGTGTAAATATTGGTGTGAAAATACGGGAAACTTGTTTTGAAAAATTTGTCACTGCTGATATTTTTACTACTTGTAAGTTTTCTTAATTACCTCCTGTGCAACAATGTTTAAAGAGCTTTGAGCTGAGTGGATCACTACAGAACTTTTAGAGGAAGTTCACTATTTTTATTTTGGGGGTTACCCACTAGTCTCTTCTAGGTTATTTTAATTTTATGTGTAAATTTTTCTCTTGAAGTCAGTATTTGATGTATTTTAAAATCTATTTTAGTACATTTGAAAACTGTTTTATTTTATTGCAGTATCACTTGCTCCAAAATCTATTAGTCATGGAAGAGTTAATACTAATTCAACTCCTCTCTCCTTCACACCATTTAAGATATTTAGTGACACTTCTGCAAATGTACCAGAACAAGCCAGCATAGTTAATGTGCATTTTGGCAAGGAGGCCGAAGGAAGAAAAATGGAAAAAGAAAGAGAAGTCGAAATAGCAGAGAATCGAAAACAAGTTTCTCAACCCGGGTTCCCACAAAGAAACCCTCTTTCACGAAATTTATTTCACACTCCTTCGTCAAACAATAGGCATGACCCAGATGATGTTGAGATGCAAGCCATGGAGCAGAATTCTGAATCAGCTTTATACAAGGAAAGAGGTATTTTCAAAAGCTCCAACCAAGAACCTACATCTTTTCCTCGGAACTCTTCAGAGGATGCAAGGGATCAGGATACCCACAGAGATGATTTCAAAATTTTCAAAGTCCCTTCAGCTATCTCTGTGAAGCAAGACAAAGAAATGTCAAAACCAGCGATGGAAATTCCTTTTGTGCCGTCACCAGGAATGACTCCAGGACAGTTAGAAGCTTTGAAAGGTACCGAAGATAAAGAAAACATGCTTCGGGAGAAATCTGAACAAATGCCCCAACTTTCTCGAAGTAAGAAAAGTATTCTTCAACCATCAAAGGATGTTTATTTTGTTCCTCTGGAACAGCAATTGGCAGAGGATGATATGGTAAGAAATTTCTATCAAATTTATTTTTGTGATCTTTTTGATTGTGTGGCTGGGTATTTAGAGATAAGCAGATAATTATTTAAAAATTCAGAATTCGTATGCTGCTCCCATTCATTGGTCTGACATATGAAACTTAATTTATAATCTCAAACTGAAATCTCTTCTGAACTTTTAAAAATTGTATAATTTGTTACTGTAATATCGTGTACAAAGTATTAAATAAATCTTTGCAATTCATTTTGCGTGAAATGTGTGCTGACACTGCCCAAACTTTTTTATTAGAAATTATTTCAAGTTCATATTAGTTATTTTTAATTCAGTGCATTGAAAGGATCACATTATTTTAGTAATGGTTTTTTACATGTTTGTTACATATGTTCTTGTGTGAAGATTTTCTGTTGCTCCAAATTGCATTTGTACACATTAGTAAAAAGAAACATTTTTTTAGTCCCAAGGAAATGTTTTGTCGGATGAAACTTGCTGCACAGAAGCATTTGCCATACCTCTGGTATCTTCTACACCTATGCTACATCCTCACTTGAAAACAAAGGTTCATGAAGCAAAGCCAAACCAGGAGGAGGAGCAAGTAGATGATAAGTGAGTTATGTAGATGATAAGTTGATATATTTTTACATGCATGAGTGTATGTCCCTGTTCTTTTTATATGGTTCAAGGCACGAAACTTCTGTAACACGTTGGAATCTGACGGATATGCCACATTGTTAATTCCTGTGCCCTGGGCAATATAGCTATTATTCAAAGTATAAAACAAAAACAATCGTTGTCATCAGTTTGAAATTGATAAAATCTTGTAGTATTGACTTCTTGCTTTAAGTCTGTATGTATTTCAATATCTCTTTGTTTTATGTATTTTGATTATACGATAATAGTGAGAATGGAATTCGAAGAAACATGTATTGTTAATTTTATACTTTTGCAGAAAGTAACAAGGCTATAAAATATGTGAGGAAATGCAGTGAACTTCATAAGGCAACAATATTGGTGTACTATAAATATTTTTTGTTGAAGTTCAGAAATAGTTCCATTTGCATATCTGTTTATTTCTGCCTTTAGTTTTCAAAATATGCTGTGGTAAAAAAAATGATGAAAAATAGTGTAGTTCAGTTGAGTCTTCATTTATAGGAAATTTTATTTCACCGGATTTCTCACATTGGTAATTCAGATTGTTTATCAATTTCAGTGCATTCTAAAAGAAATGAAAACTGAAATTTGGGAAGGTTCGCCAATAGAATCATTCATATCATTATTACTCTCCACGATATAACGTTCATTGCTCAAAGTAGACAACAATCCAGAAATAAAATCGTCATCCGCATTGGAATAATCCAGTTCTGAACCAGTTCATTATTCATAAACATTAATTTCTAATGTTGAGGGTGAATTTGACACCAGTATAGGTCTTCTAAACATCTGTATATGTTGCTAACAGACGTCTTTGTGAGTTTATAACGTATATTTTGATTGTTGAAGGCATTTTACATGAATCAGGCATTTATCTTTATTATGCCTTTGCGCGAATTTGTACTATGCAGCGCTTCAGTGGCGTAGTGGTACGAGTGTCTGCACATTAACTCCAAGAATCTGCGTTAGAGTTTCAGAGCAGAAGAATAATTCGCTGCTTGAAAACACGTCATTTATGCAGAATTAACTGCTGTTGACAATTGTTATAAGTTGTTTCATTTGAGAAGAGACGCTGAATAATTCATCAGTTGCAGAATTACAAGTTTTCCAGAAAGAAAATTTGCTCAATGTAAAACATAAGCATTGATCACCAAACTTGTGCTGTGATTCGATCTGCTGCAAAGGTTAAAGAAAAAAATGAGACTAAATGCTTAGAACAAACAAGATTTCGGCCGCCTTCCCAAGCTGTCATGTTGAATAGAAGAGACAATTGAAAGGGACCTTGTAAATCTGTTCTACACTAGGATGAACAATGTATTCAAAAACTACTCCGAACAAGACAGATTGGATCGACTTTAGAAAAAAATTCATTTTGGATTTTGATATAGTGAGTTGCTAAAAGTTATTAAGATGACACTTGTTTTATGTCACGGTCAGGCTGGTTTTGAAAGGGGATTTTCTAGCAACAAGGAATACCTCATTGATAAGTTTGGGATGGCGTTATAAAAGCAGGAGTTGCACAGATCAAGATAACTAAAAGTATGATTTATTCTGCTTGAATCGCTCAAGCTGTCTATTATGAACTGGAAACAAAGACAAAAGAGCAGGGAGAGTAGAAAAAGGAAGCTGAGAAAAGAAAAGCTACACAAAAGGTATGTGAACTGAAGGAAAAGAAAAAAAGCTATATTTGCTCAAATGGCACACATTAGTGAAGAGATTGATTCACTGGTTTTGTTGATGTCAAAGAAGTTGGACCAAAATTCTTCTGCTTTTTATATACTAACATTTATTTAATTAAAGTTTTTTGATATTCCAAAGTAACACAGTTCATGGGACTGTTGATTTATTTCCTAAATGTTCTTTCTTTACTCATATGCTTCTCACAGATTGGCTAACAGCTCAGTTCCTTGGATTTGTGAACTGTTTCTTCATTTACTAAAATATGTCAATTCAGGTTATTTTATCCAGTTTATTAATACTTATTGGGACGTGTACAAATAGACTGTTACACTATCTAAGGTTTCTTGGAAACCTTGAAGCCTCAAATAATAATGAAGAACTATATGCATTGCCATCTGCTGGAACTAATTTGTTTTTTAATGCTTCAATTAACATAAAGTTTACAATAGCAAATGACAGTAATATTGATTTTGCTGTCAAAAAGTGCCTTCAAAAAATTAGAAAAAAGAGTGATGTAGTTTGACTTTGTTTAATTTTTGCTTTATGTATTTCTGATTATCATTTTAAAATATGGTTTGTGATAATTTTAAGTGATTTTGTACATTTTATTTTATCCTGTTTTTTGTTTGTGATGATGCAACGTGATAAGAGTATTGTGTGTTTTTGAAGGGTTGGTTGGGTGAGATTTTGTTTTTGTTGCGTAATGAAGTTGCATTGGGGCATTGCCTGTTAAATAAATAAATTGTAATGTGAAATTTTGCTACAATTCAATTGCCATTGAAAATAAATTCAATCGCTTTATAATAATAATATAAATGTCTGCAAGGATTTCTTTCTGCCTAATAAACATGATTGAAAATGGACCCTTTTTGGATATGCAATGCAAAATGTATGCAGGAAATTTTTAATTTCTTTTTTAGAAATTTTGCTTCGTTACTGCTTTATGGGTTCATTTTTGCAGTTAGCATATTAAGCTTAAGTTTAGTGTTTAATGAGAGATAATGGTTCTGTTGTATTTACATTAAAATTTATTTTTATTTTAGCACAATGAATCTAATAGCATATCTACAACAAAAAAATATTCGTGAAAGTGTGCTCCCTGCTAATGGAACCAATACAAAACCCCAACTTGTTAATCAAACTGATAATGTCACTGTAGTACCGAATTCGACACGAATGCCAAGGATGTCTGCAGTAACCACCCAATTAAGTACAATTTTGGAGTCATCAGATCGAAGAAAAAGTTCAATGGGAACCATTGGTAATTCAGGTTTCTCTTATTCATCCAGGGTATTGGGTTTTAAATATTATATGTGTATAACCTATTTGATCAAATTTCAGATGGTAGTGGTTCTTCTAAATCGAGTGGATGTGACACAATTTCAAAATATAATAATACCAGAAAAAGTATTTCTTCTGCCTACCATCAAATTTGTGAACTTGAACTCCAAGAAGAAATTGACATGTTCAGGAATATAGACCATAATCAAAGGCCATCACCTTCAGGATCATTGATGTTTTTCTCTGGAAGTTTTAGAAGTCGTTGCTGGGAAAGTTCTGGGTTTCCTTCAGAAGTACACAAGATGAATTGCGTGGAATTGCATATGCCGTTTGATATAAATATTAGAGGAGGGAGTTCATTTGTTCTTGGTAAGAAACAAAAGAAATTATAATTTTATTTTCGAAATACATAATTGTTTGCTCAAATCTAATTGTTTCATTGTCAATAAACTCATAATTGTTTTGTACCAGGAGAGAATCGATACCAAGTTTTTGAAGTAATTTCTGAGGAGACAGGAATGTTGTCCTTCTTTGCATATGAGGACTTCTCCAAGAGACGGGTATACATGGAATTAAAAGATAACGCCTATCTTTGGGAACAATATATAAGAGAAGAAATTAAACTAAGAGTCAGGGATAAATCCAAGGTATTTTTTGCCCTTTTCTGTCCTGTTCTTTCTTTTTTTCTTCTTAACTTTTTTACTTCTTAATTTAATTATTAACTGTCTTGAACACTTAGTGTAGATTTCGTCAAAATCCATGTCTCGTGGATCTTTGATAGTGAAAAAGTTTTTTTCTTCTTTATCTGTTGGTTGGTTTGTCTTGTGTATAAAACATATACAGGATTTTCACAAAAATTGATATTCTGTGTCTGATGTCACAACCTGTAGAATTTGAAATGGTTATTTTAATTCATGGGAGTTATTTTACTTGAAGGACCCATGACATTTTCAAAATTTTCTGTATAATAACTTCAATTTTTGCTCGAAGGAAACTGCTTACCTTTCATTTCTTAGTTTCTTATTATATGAGGGAGGGGGGAGTGCACATGTGTGATATCCCACATACACATTTTCACTTTGTGTTGTGGAGTGTTTGGCAGGAGATGTGTCCTTTGAAGAATCCTTTTGATTATAATTATTATAAGCGTAATCATCCCTAGTAGGGCAAAGGCCTTCTGTGTAAAGCAGGATAGTTTTCCCTGCTACTTAGAATAAAATTCCTGGCGGTAGTTGGTCCGAGTTGTACAATTAAGCATTATTAGTTACTGACTTCCTGGATTAAACATTTTGTAAAATATAATCAAATATAAACATTTATATCAATTTTAGTTTTAAAATATAATTTTATCGATCTTTTTTTAAAAAAATTTCTTTTCCAGTTGCAGCATTTTGATATAAATGACAAGACATATATATTTGCCAATAAGTTCCTCAGAGTATTTGAGAAGGATGCCAAAAAAGGGAGATGTATAAAAGATATTTTGGAACAGGTGAGTGAATGATTGGAATTTAGTCTGACCAACCAAGTATCAATTTTTAACTAGATATATATGTTAAAGAAACATTTTGTTTTCTTTCAGACATTTGACGTCACTGAGTGTGCCTCTGAAATCCTTAATATAGTGTTTCATCTGCATCAGTGCAAAATAGTTCATGGAAGTTTGTCATTAGAGTCCTTCATGTAAGCACACGAACATTTAGTTGAAGAAAGTATTAATGTGCATGGGTTTTAATTTTGATTCATGGATTTATTTTAGTTGCAGGTTCATATCCGATGATTTATTTTTAAATTGTTTTGAGAAAGCTGTTGATTTGACTCTACTTCCATCCAATACGGTTTTTGATGCTACTGAAGAACCGTTGTATCATAAGTTGCGTGCGCATAAGCTTTCACCGTTCCAGGTAAAGTTTTACAAGGGACTTTTTATTTGGAAGTAATTGTGAAAATATTTGAATAAATGGATAGACACTGTCTGAGAAAGTGATGTGTTCAATTACTGTATATATCAGAATATAAGATGAATCCCATATTTTCAAGAAGTCTCCTGAATTTGAAAAACACATATGTCTAATTTTTTGTTGTTAAGCCCGTATAAAATTGCTATTTGTCTAATTGACAAGAAAATTGGCTTGTTGATTGTTAAAACTTAGTATTGCCTTTGCTATAACTATTCTTGTTCCTAAAAATCATTTTAGTGAAAGTTTTTGCTCCTTCAGTCTTCTTCACCTTCATATGTATCGTTGTTGTTGCTCTTTGGCCCTTCTCCCATACTGCATATCTTTTTTTGCCTCCCCTTAGAAAGTTTTGAAATTTGCATTTGTCTTTCATCCTACACTACCTAAGAACATTCCCTTCCGTATCACCAAAGTTTCTTCCTGTCTCCTTTTGTTCATGACCTCTGATTCTTCAATAGTGTTTTCATCTTTTTTATATAATTGAAATTTGCATTGTTTAATGTTCACGAATTGTGAATGTGAACTTGTACACCTCAGTTTCGCAAGTAACACCGTAAAGAGGGGCAAAACTTCTAAGTAAGAGGCATTTTTGGTAAGAAATTGTTTTTTCTCATTTTCTCTCTGTTTGAATGGAGAATTCATATAACAATGAGCTTGTTTTTCATTTCTATCTCGTGCAAAAAGCTGTATCGCTCTCGTTAGGCATCGAACCAAGGTTTTGCATTGCCTCGTCCGCCATGTGTTAAACGTATTGGTACATAAGCAACAAAATTTCAGCAACAATTTTTATTCATTTTCATGTTGCTTTCAAATACTACAATGCCATTCCTTAAAAATTTTCTTTACCAACTCATTCACATCTATTCAGTGAATTATGACTGTGAATATAATTATTGTAGGTAAGCTTAATATTTAAGGTCTTTACAGCTTGTCATGAACATTAGTTTTTGTTGCCATGGGAAGGCAGAGTAAAAATATTAAATCCCAACTGATGAGGCTTAATCTGGGAATATACGTTGACCATGTTATTCATACGAGATATTTAAGAGAAAAAGCTTGTCTTATGTTGAGGTAGATACGGTATTTGTTTCATGTATTTCATACGGTGTTAGAAGAGAGACAAACAATAATATTTGTATTCTTAACTTGCACATCATATCTAATCATGGCCTTTTTATAAAGAAATATTGAGTTATTCTTTTGAAGGTTTTTGTATTATGTTTTATTTACTTCTCCATTACGTACTATTTTAATCCTACTTGATCCTGAACTGGATAGATTTGCCATTGCGATTTTTCTCCTGTAGCTCTGATGTGACTATGTGGGTTATAAGGGACAGACGCAGACATGAGCTAAATATCTACTGTTTATTACATCTTTTTTATAGAATTTTGTGCAGCTTGAAAACCTACTCGGAGCCTCCATGAATCTCTAAGTTTGAGTTCCACGATACTTGTACAAGTGCCCGGGTTTCTTCTTAACAGTGAATGCTGCGAGGTTGGGGAGATGTGGTGTGACTCCCTTCTCTCCGACCCATGTGTGCAAGCTTTCACGACCTAGGTTGAACGCACCGGTATCTGGACACGTGTGTCCCTCGCGTGTGTCCCTCGTGCCTAGGACAGACCTCATCGCCCTGCTCCCTTTCCCTGTCGTCCATGCACAGGAGTGCGAGTAGCAGCTGCAACCCTCATGGTTGCACCGAACTCCTGGCCTCTTACTCTTTCCGGGCTCTTTGTCTACCCACACAGCTCATAACTGTCAATATACTTTCTCGAATTACCCAAAATGTGAATATTCATTGTTCGAATATGCAATTAACTACTCACTGAAATCTCTCACCCATCACACCAAACATAAGGAGCTCTGCAAGTCGATATGAAGAGGATGTTCCACGCTAGTCTCCGATCACCTTGCACTTCTTAGGCAATGGCATCCATTCCCGGTGCAGTTGCGCTGTTGATAGATTGAGAACAAGAAGTGTGAAAGAATGAATGAATTAAAAAAATGAAAGTGGAAAAAATAGTATAGTCACTCTCATTCATGTAAAAATACTACACTTTCTTCAAAAATAATAGTACCTAATTTAATCCTTTTGTTTATACCTTAATGTTTATTATATTCCTGGATTAAGCATTTTGTAAATTCTTTAAGTGCCTGAAATGTCGCTTTTCATGCCAAATAGGGTGTAATTTCATAATTTTTTTACCAGTTTTAGTTGCCTAAATCATCACTTTTTTGTGCTAAAATTCTGAGATCGAGTTGGTCATCCACTTGTACCCCTGCTAAACTGTCAGAACCTGTTTTTTTTTTGTTTCTCATCTACTACTATACAAAATAGAAAAAGTATTGTAATGCAGGATAAAATGTAGAGTTTGCATTAGGAAAACTTTGTGGGGCTCGGATACTAAAGTGCAATATCTTGCATTGTCAGAATCCTTATTTTGTGGATCTATAAAAATGAGTGTTTTTTGGCTGCTTGCCTGTCTCGCAGACCTTCTGACCCTCTTTCTGCGCGACCACCTCACTTTGACGCATCTGCTGTTCTACCCATCAACCAGTTGCCATTGATAAACTTCTCATTTTAAACTGTTTGGTAAATACAAGCTATTCATCTCCTTCCCACCTAAAAAGAAGTAGGAAATGAAAGGTATTCTGGTGGCAGAAAGTTGGATGTGAAAGTTGTATTGGATTGTCAGTAATTTTATACCCATATCTGTTTCAGGTGGATTACATTGCCTTAGCAAACATTTTGCATCAACTAGTCTTCAAGGAGCCAATGAAAGTCCATGAGGAGATGGGAAAGTGGTGCATATCTTCAATTCTTCCAAGGCAGGTGTTTTTAAGGTTTAAGATTATACGTAGTATATCAAGCTGAGATAAAAAAAACATTATTTTTGTGTCTGCATTTCACGAATGTGTTATGCAACACTTTCTATGAAAACTGGAAAAATGAGAGCAATCCGTTAATCTGGAAAGCAAAGCAAAAATCAGGGAATATGTTGAACAATCTTTAAGTTAGTCATTTGGGATTCAAAAATAGATATAACACCATAAACCATAAACTAAACCAAAGTTTGAACAAATTAAAAATGTTAATGATATTTTTTAAATTTTTTTTACAGGAATTATGACAAGACTCTGTGGGATATTTTGTTCACAGAACTTCTTAATAGTAGTGATGTTAATTTGCTGCAGTTTTGTTATGCTTTGGAGCAAGGCATTAATTCTTGAAAAGACAGAGTTCATTGAGATGGAATAAAAAATTGTGTTATTGTAATTATTGCTCTCCTGTAACTTAAGGTATTTTTATGTATTTTATTTATTAAGTAAACATAACTGTATAATATATGAATAATAAAATATTTTGTATTTTTTACATGTTGAAATGTTTGCTTTTCCACTTCTTGAAATAAATATAAATTATAATATTTAACTTTGCTGATACTAACTAAAAGTAAATATGTTTCTTTGAAAATATGTACATAAAAGTTCAAGTTTTTAAAAAATAATGCAATCTTGAATTGTGTGAACGAATTCCTCAGTAAACAGATGGGTAATGTTGCATACTTGCAACTAAATTCTCAAAAATTGACGCATACTGTTATTGAAGGAAGCATAAATATTAATTCAGTTACCTGGAAAATTTTGAATAATTTGAAGAAAATGAAATTCATATTTGATGATGTTAAAACAGTAAAGGGTGTAATAATTGAGTGAAATGCTTTTTCCGTGTTCAAAACAGGAATCACCCCATCTGACATAGATCAGAAAGGAAGAAAATCGTATTCAAGAAACAATAATGATACATTTCTAACCCGAAATAAACTTTATTTTACAATCACTCAAAAAAAATTTTTTTATGAAACGTTATTTGCTTTTTCTCTACTCTTTGTGGTTACCGAAATAAAACCATCATAGTGCAAAAATATCAGTTTCTCTTCAAATATGTCTTACACACACACACACACACACACTCATCTGTACTAATTGAAACTTTTTATTCATAGCGATTGGTGTGTTAGTGTACAAAAAGTGCTGTAAAAATAGAAAAATAAAAATTGTTTTTCGTAATTAATTTTTGAAATTCAAATGGATATTATTATTTATTATTATTATTATTATTATTACTACTACTACTACTACTACTATTATTAATATTAATGAATCTTGAAGATGATAAAAATCAAAATGTCAACACATTTCTTGGTGTCTGGTGCAGATGGAAGCCACTTTAAACCTACCAGTTGACCTTATTACCAAGTTAACCTTATTTTGTAATCTGAACGCTTTTGTAACCTTGTGCCCTGAGCTGGCTCAGTTCAGCTATTCAGTTTTCTCATATTACATTGTTTCTTAAGAACTATTCGGATGTATTTGACTCGGCAGTCTAAAATTAATATTTTAAAAATTCAAATTTGAATTTTGTGTATGTAGTGTTACTGTATATGAACATTTATCAGATTCAAAGTGAAGTGTGGGTATACTCATTGTTCTTTTTTTATTTTTCATTCAATTGATTGTTCTTGGAATGCAAATCTTATCTTTTCCCATGGTTTTTTATTATTTCTCTTGAATCTTGTGTAATATTATCAACTGCTGCTTGCCAAATTTCTTTGCATCCTTTTGCACATGAGCAAACTGATAGAAGTTCCCATGGATCACAATACATTACCACAACTTTATATCTGTGTACATCTGATAGTATGACCATTTGGACTCTGACAGTAATATTTAATATGCTTTGTAAAATCAGGTTTACACAGGTAAGTTTCCTGGGGAGAAAGCAGAAAAAAATCAGGGCAAGATGTGTGCGATCGAAACAATGAATTGAAAGGAGAAACTTATGTGTGATAATTTCTTCACATCCTATAATTTGGAAATTGTGAGCGTGTTGATTCCCGGAAATACATGCCATGAACTGAAGTCGTGCAGCATTGATGTGAAATGGAGTTATTGTCAACAATTGCTTCAGGACCTATTGTGCTAACAAACACCAAAAAGGTCCATTGTAATTTTGTCCTTGAAATAATGGCAATAAAAGTAATATTTTGTGTGTTATGTGCAAAAAAACATTTTCAAGAAACATGCAAATTATTTTTTCCAAATTGTAACAAATCATTAAAAAAATGTAAAACATGATGTTGGTATAGTTCTTAACATAGCATATTCATATATCAAGTAGTAAAAATATTGTTTTTTTTTAAATTTTTTCCGTTTAATCCAGTCCAGTATGTGAAATAACTTGTCCGCTCATTTAGATGTGAACAGTACAGCAGGGTAAAATAAGATTTTTGAATCGCAAGGAGTTCGTTGTTCTCTCGTAAGATAGTGCTCGTGTAGTGGAATTGAGTATATGCAAATAAAGTGCGGTAAATAGTTTGGATAGTTGTTTATTCTAACTTAAATGTGCGACCGTAATGAAAGTTGGTCTTGTGCTGCAAGAGGTAACCATGTAAAAGATTCGTAGCCTTCCTGTGCTGCAGACACAATTTTCATTTGCGTGCGAATTTGCATTGTCTGGCCCTACATAATGACATCTCTGCCGGTTGGTTTTTACTTTCCAGTATACGTACGTATATACGGAGTAATACGCGTAGTGTAAGGAAAGTTATGTAATGCTGCTGAAAATCAATTTCGAGATTTCAACGGAAATACACGTTTTGCGCCCCCCCCCCCTGTACTGAAAAAGATTTTTCCAAACGTCCGTCCGTCTGGTGCCTGTGAACACTACTAGCGCCTAAACTATGCCTAGTTTTATTTTTTTAAATTGAAAAAATGTGTGTCGATCTGTCTCGAGTCGAATCTTTGAGATTTTTAAAAAATCTTTAAAATTTGGCGGTACTTTACATGAAGTCCCCGTGAAATTTTCAAAATTTTCTCAAAAACTGCTCCAATTGTTTCTTTAAATTTATTGTAAGAATAGCGCATAATACACTAATAAAGATGGCATAGGTCCGATTTTCAGGTTTAACACGGAATTTTTGAAAATTTCAATTTTTTTCGAGCGTCTTCCTACTACTACAAAATTAAAGATAGGGATGTTTCCTTCAAAATAAAATTCGTTCTCCATAGTGAATTCTTTCATTAAGGACATGTTCATTTTTTTGAAAATGTTAGTATTCGCGCAACATGTGCAATTTTTTTAAAAATTACGAAAACAACGTTTTCTCAAAAAATGGCTCCAAATTGCTTTTTAAACTTTTGGTAGGGATGTACTCTATAAGATAACGTAAATGCTATATTGCTAAATATTTCTGTTTTTTTTTAATTACAACCATGTAATTTTTTTTTACTTTTATGTTGTTAATACTTATATTAGCGGCAATTTGTCTACATTATTATATTTATAAATGTGCTTCAAATAGTGTCATATAGAACTATAGTTTCTGGATGTCTTATAGTTTCTGGAATACTAGCTCAGAATTCGGCATTTTCAGAAACGTTTAAACGCCAATTTCTCAAAAACAGCTTCAAATTTTTTTCTTCAAACATTTCTAACAGATAGTTGTAATTGCACTCTTTAATATTGCGTTTAATTAATTTCGGGGATTTTTTTTTATTTTTAAAATTAAAATGTACATTTTTTGAAAGATTTCTCACGTTGATGTGCACATTTCCAGCCATTTGTAAACACTATTTTATTTGTGAGTTAAAGTTCTTAAAATGACTTCAAATTAAGATTTTCGAAAACTCAAAAATGTTATGTAAATAAGAGCTTCAAATTTCGAATTTACAGTAGCGCTTAAACCCCAGTTTTTTAAAAACTGCTTCAAATTTTTCAAAGAAAATTGCCTTTTAGGGCGAGGTTTTACTGTTCTTGAGTAATCTTAAAATAATGTTTCCCTCCATATGTTACAAAACCGAAAAATTAAGAAAATGTCAAAAAAATTTACTTTGCCGGTTATAGATGGCAGCAGGCAAGAATACGTGGCAAGTTCGAATAGCTAACCGACACCAAAGAAAAAAAAAAAACGAATACGGGTAAATCTGTGTCATTCTGTAGCACTACTAGTTATGACCTAAATGACTTGTCACCCTGCGGGATACTGGTTGGGACAAGTTTTATTTTTGGTTTAGCTGTTGAATATGTGTGGTATAATAAAGTAAACCATGGTGGAAATACCACAAAGTAAACAGTGAATCCCTGGTAGATTAGCAATTGCATTTAACTAAAGCGCCATGTAGTGGAGATACAACAAAATGAACTGCATAAAAAGCACTATGGAGCCCAAAAACACGTTAAAAAACCGTAGATATGCTCTCGAGTAAACCAACTACATATATGTTCAGTGATCTGTTTTGCCTACCCTGAACATTGTTCACGATTAGCCATGCTGTCAAATGATTTCTAAAATGAATCATGTAAATAGATGTAATCAAAAGACTTACTTCTTTGATTCTCCTTAAAAGCAATTTCCAAGTACAAAATTTCTAACGCGAGGGCGCCTAGATCATTCCTAATATAAAAGAGGAGGCGCTGTGTAACCAGAAGTCAATTTTCCTTTTAACTTATCTTTTCGGGTCGCAGACAACCACCCTTTTTTCAGCACTGCCTCTTCTTATCACGACAAATTGTTACTAGAGTTTTATCTATCTTGTAATCTGGTAAAACCTTGTAATAAATATTGTTTTAACTCAAAAACGTGTAGTAACAAAGGACCTTTCAACCGTAATCTGGCCTTATATTTTGCCAATTGAGAAGTATTCAGTATTTCTAAGAGTTGTGAAAAAATAAGCTGGCGTCGCGCACTGGAAGTTTCTGGAACTAAAGTTCCACACTTAACGACGCAAACGTTGGCACGGGGTTTGTGCAGTGCTTCCTCCTGTGAGAGAATGTCTGCCGAGGGAACAAGCGCTCCTACACACGAGCACCCAATTCAGGACAGCGAAACACTAAGCTCATGGCATTGCTCACACCCTTGACAAGCCCGCGATGCGACGCGGCACAGCGTATATTCTTCCAGGCGTTGATTCGTCGACAAACCCGATAGTTGGGAGGATATGGGGCTTCTCGAGCGGAAGTGACGTCACATCTGATGCGGTGGGTAAGGCTCGAGCAGCGGGCACACCAAGGTCCTGTGGGTCTTCGCCACCTCTGCGCGCTGCCGGGCAGAGAACGCAAAAGCCCAGCCGAGATCCTCCACGGTCACTGTTGCCCCTCATGCAGCCAGGGGGGTCAGAGGAGCACCCTCCAAATTTAAGGTAGGTGGATGGGTGTATTGGCAATTATTCGGCAAAGGACTAACATGGTTTCCAGGGGTGGTGCAAGGAATCAGAAGCAACAGAATGTATATGGTGCAGGATACGTAATCAGGGGCAAGTTAGAGCCCTATTTTCCAGGATCAGGGTAGATAACTTAAATCAAGTTTTCCCCCGTCTGAAGCGTAGGCTTCCGCGGAAACGTGCCTGTCCGGGAGACGACGCGTCCTTGGCACAGGTGCCAAGGTTTCTGCGACCTTCCTCAGGGCGAAATACTCAAGGTCGCAGAATGGCAGGCTAAACGTTGGAACATGTGCCTAACGTCACCTGTGACAGCCAAGCAGCTGAGCTTTTCCTGTGCAGTATAGAGCAAAAATGTACTAAGATAGGCTTTTATAAGATCCACAGGCGAGCGATGGCAGGCGCGTGCCTTCGAGGGAACCGGTTCTTCGGCGGACACCCAGCAGGTGACCGACCCAGGGAAGACACGGAGAACCACCGGCCAGCAGCGAGTTGGAGACGCCGCACAGGACTGTAAGCGCCCCATGAAGAGTTCTTGGGTGCGTTTGGGCGCACTCGACCGCTGGAGAGACCCGCCGCCCCGCGCGAAACGGCGCTCCGGAGGACACTTCAGCTGCCACCCGAGGGAATACGCCGGAGCCGGTACGGAGGCCTACGTCACACCTCAGCATTCACAGCGCCGCAACAGCCTGAGGCCTCGTTCACAACCAAGGCCTTTGAACCCGCCATTAAAATCAGGGACAAAGCTGAAAGGTGCCACTATAGGAGGCGCCGGGTACAGGTGAGGCTCGCCAACTTTCGCACATGAAAATTTACTAATTTGTGAGAAATACGAAAAGTGTCTTCTAAATGTTCAGTTATCGATCGTAACGGTACGCGCCTGCTTGCGTCTCGCGAACCCTCGCAGCAGCCGCGCACGTTTTAAGTATCGTTGGCAGCAGTTCGTATTTTAGTGCCTGTAAGAAGGCGCTGAAGGCGAGCGCGCCCCTGTAAAGATTTCCACCACGTTATATGGGAGGACTTGTTCACATTGCATAAACAACATAGCCGCAAAATCTAGAAACGTGATAATAAGCGAACCCATTCCAGCACCTTGACGTAACCGCAGTTGTAAGTCCGTAAACATAAAGAGTTCAAAAGCACCAAGTTTTTACGTTAAGTTTACGTCGGAATTCTACCGAAGAGAAATCAGTGTGTGTTGAAGTAGTTTGTGGTTATGTCATTTCATTACAGTTATGTACTGAGATGACTCAACATCTCTCGTGTGCTAATTGTCATAAGCCCACGCTCACTCAAAACACGACAAAGGACGACTGCATCGCTCTTCCAAAGCCCCCTTGCAGCCATCACTTGCAACAAAGAGTCTAAAGACATCCATCTCTCGCATTTATATATTAAGACAAATCGAAGAAAAAGCTAGTAACCGTGGTGAAAAAATCTTTCCATCATGATAGAAACGATTCGACAATCAATGTAGCTTCAGTACGTTGGAATCTGATTGTCTCAGGCGAAACTTACGTTGCGTCATAATGTATGCTTGTTTTTACGTGTAAATTTTATTGCTACGTTACGTTTAAGTTTGGATTGTGAATGAGGCCTCGCACCAATGACAGCCCTTGGCCCGCTGGGGGTATAAAACGGCTCCACAGCGGGAAGCCGGCAGTTGGAGTTCATCTGGCGAGCGAGTCCTATGTGGTGATAAGTTCACTGGTAGCAACGAACTTTTCTACGGGCTTTTAGGAGACTGCAAGAGACTACTACTAGGCTCTTTGTGACTTAATTAGTTAATAGCTTATCTTGTGGAAATTGTACATGCTCTGGTACTTTCTTGTGAAATGAAATGCTTTATTTTACGAACTTTGCGGATTATTGCTCAATACACCGCGCTTTCCCACTTCCTGCAGAGCCAGGCCACCGGCACGTGCCCCAGTGAAGGGCCTGCCCTTGACCAACTCTGCGTCATTCATGGACGCTGCGTAGGCCTTCAGCAGCTGCTTATGCCGACGACTGACCGCCAACTCGCAGCCTACCGTATTGTAAGTAAATAAACTAATCATAAATAAATTAAATTGATAAGCAACCAAGACTTGCATGAACTTCACTCAATAACTTCATGAAAAGATTAACTAGAATAATGCAGGCAACAATGTAAAATTTGATGCAAATTGTTGTGTGTGGAACCTTGTGAAATGTTTTTTGTATTAGCCCTTGTGAAATATGTATTTGTATTAGCCAGGAGAGACGGAAACTAGGCTAAGCAATTATTTTGATTGTGAATAAACATGGTTGCACGGACACTCGCCCCAGCAACAACTAATTTTGAAAAAATTGATGTTTTTATTTGATTGTGAGCGTAAGAAGGATACTTCCCTGTCCAGTTCCAAAACAATCGACGATAAGCACGCCGTTTCGCGTATGGAGAGGGCTTCGCGTACTCACGCGCTAAAATAAATTTATTGTACGGTAATTTATTTCCATAATACTAGGAAAAGCCCATCCAGTTTCAGCTACCGACCAGCGTGAGCGTAGTTGTATGTGATTATATATAAAATTCCTTATGGATTCGCGACCAAAACAGCTGGCTCCGTTCTGTTGAGTGCTCAGAGTGGAGCCAAAGAGTAATGTTTTTATGATTAATAATAATTACGTTTAATAATAAAGTTACGAATGGGCGTGAACTGTTTCAATATCTGGGTTAATTATTCCACGAACTTTGGAATTAAAGCAAAAATAAGATTCTCGAATTTTATTTTTATTAAAGTATTTTAAGTAATTTTTAAAATATACGTATTTCATTATTAAAATATATCTCCAAAATAATGTCTAAAAAATTTAAAAACAAAGATTTTTCAAATAAAAATGTATTTAAAATACATACGAGTGTTTCAAATACTTATATTTAAATACGGCCCAACTTTCATCACAAGTGAGTAGGCGAGTATCCCGCCAGCATCAGTGGCCTGGTCTGACGCCCAACACCCTGGCCGTACGTCCGTCGCATGGAATCGTTACAGTATTTTACATTTATAACTTGCTAATAGAGTTAAGTTGTTGTGTAGGCCTATGGTTCAGCGCGCTAGATAACAACTAGACAACTAGATAATTTTCATCTTCTTGGTAGTACTACGATTTTCAAAGTACAATGCCACGAATTGCCTCAAATATTAATTGCAGAAGGAAATATGATTAAATTACTATTTAGTCCCTTAACTAAAAATGAGAATTTTTAGACGTGTCACTTTTGTTGGGCACCGACGAAATGTCGGCAACATTCATGTACGTACACATTTTGTAAAAATGCACACATTAGGTTAAAGAAATCTGATCTTTACTTTATCAGAATATAATAACATACGCGTAGGTGTAAGTGTGGCAAACATGCAAATGAACGTGGCACTTCTAAAATGGCGTCTTTTTTACTTGTCAGCTGCTGCGAAACTACACCCAAGTGCTCGTTTAGACTTCCTCGCACCAGTCCTTGGGAATCGTCTCCCAAGAAACCCATTAGCGCTTCCAAGATGAGGAAGGGGCAAAGAATCCTAAACCTCACCGCCAGAGAAGCCGCCCATATCACGTGTCATTAAGGCTCTGACAGCCCGGCGCGGGAGATCCGCAGCGGGTGCGGCGCGGACCGCCCCGCGCTAGATGCGGCGGCGGAATCCGCGGACCTTCACCTTAGTTTCGTTTTCGTCTTTTGACTTCGTTTTTCGCCTTCGTCTCTTCTTTTTGTTTGCGTCTTTAGTTTTCGCATTTTGTCTTCCCTTTCCGTCTTCGTACTTCGCCATTCATATCCTTCATTATTTTTGTCTTGTTCTTTTGTCTGATTTTTGACTTAATCTTTCGTCGTTTTTCTTCTTCGTCTTCGATTTCCGTCTCCGTCTTTCGTCATCATCTTAAGCCCTGTTCTTTCCTCTTCGAATTTGTGGTTCGTTTTTCATTATCATTTTTCGTCAAGTCTTACGACTTGTTCTCTGGATTTGTTTATCATCTTCGTCTTTCTTCCTCAACTTTCGTCTTTTATCTTCGTATTTCATGTTCGTTTTTCGACCTTGTCTTTCGTATTTTGTTCTCGTCTTTGTCTTTAGATTTCGTCTGCATCTTTCGTATTCGTCATCGTCTCTCGACTTCATCTTTTGTTTTCGTCCTTCGTCATTAACATTCTTTCACGGCGATCGTTTTCGTTCCTTGTCTTCGTGTTTCGTTCTTTTATTTGTCTGGTCTTTCGTGTCGTGTTTTGTCCTTCGTTTCCCTTTTTCGGTTTCATCTTTCTACTAGGACTTTTGTCTTCGACATTCGTTACAATCTCTGCTCTTTGTCTTATTCTTTCGCTTTGTTTTCATCTGCGCTATTCATGTTAGTGTTTCATCTTCGCCTTTCCTCTTTGTCTCTGAACTTGATCGAGATCGGTGTTGGGAGAAAAGATCAAAATAATAACAAAAAAGGCCAAATATCAAAAATAGTTATCAAAAGCTTAAATAGGCAAAATGAAAATGGACTAAAACAACTCCTGAGGTGCAAATGAGTAATTCCTATTGTTTAAAGTCAAAATCTTAAAAGTTAAAAAAAATCTTCTGGACTCTAGTCGTAATCTGTGAACTTCTAGGTCTTTCTTCTGAAATCCCTTTGATGCACCCTTTAGGCGGTAATTCGATATCTTGCTGTACTACACTTGAGTTTTGTGTCCAAGTTTTCTTATGAAAGGTAATAATCTGTTATCTTTTTTAGCGTATTGTATACCCTGGGAAAGAGGATAAATATCCATGTGTAACCATGTATGGTAACCAAATTATATCCAGACAATCGAAGTTCCTTAAAATAGTTGAGAATCCGGAGCAATGCACAATACATTGAAATATGGTAGCACTTTATGCAGGGTAAAGCAAAATCTTCGTCTTGTTGCTCTGTATATTATTGCTCGCCCAGGAGAGAATAAAGTATATCAAATATTTCTTACGTTGATCCAAGGAGAGTGAAGGATCATTTCCACAGTGATAGGAAGATTGACACATTAAATATCACGATCAATTTTTGTACATCATTTTCTTCTATTAATTTTTGTTTAAAATCATTTAAGAAATGTTATACATTTCTATTTAACAATACAGTAATTCAATACAATAAATGGCACAAATATTTCAATTTAATTATTTACATAATTTTAATTTTGGATGGTAAAAATTTATGGTTTGAAAAAATAACATGTATATTCTTAATACAGCCTCAGAAAATAATTTTATTTCATTACATCAATATATGTATTAATAGTGAATACACTTTATACTACCTTTGTCATTCCTCCACAATTATACATGATTAAACACTTTCTACAAACATTGAATTATAACATCACAATACTTTTCCTGAGTACCAAAAATGTTTATTTTGTCAAGATCATTTACTTAATGAGTACCCTCATCCAATGTTAAGGTGCTAGGAAGGCAGGAAATAGCCCTTAAGTCAAAGTGTAACAAAGATATTTTTCAATCTTTGAATATTTGCAAATCAAGTGAACACAACCTGCTGAAAGCAAGCAATTAGTTTCATTAATACATTAAGTATGAATTGCACAATTTACTCCATCACTAAGCAAGAGAATTTAAGACACCTCACCTTTGTGTCAATGGCTTGAAACAAATCTGCCTCAAGTAGTAATCAAAATAAATATGGGAACTGTTTCAACTAACCATTTCTTTGAACTGTTAAATAACTACCAGAGTTGAGCGCAATAAACCTTAAACATTCTTGTTTTCTACTTCTTTAAATTATTCGATGATATTCAATCTTTGTACAAATAATCTAATTTCAATCAATGAATTGATGTGGATGTCTAATTGGGAGCTTCAAAGTGAATTTAAAGAAAATTTGGAAGACATTTTTTGGAGCCTAGAATTGTTGTTTTACACCAAAATAAACAAGTTACTTGAAACAATATCTTAATTGTACATTCTTACACACATAATTAGTGGTATATTCATGATACCTAATAAAATATTTTTAGAATGTCTTAAAAGCTGTTATAAGGTCTTTTCACTAAAGTTGATTACCACAGTATATTTTTTAAAATATGCACATGTGTTCTTAGTTGTCTCCTGTACCAGGAAATCGTGCACATTTTACTTCATTTCCATTCATTCTATGGCAGTTACAAGAATTACCATTAAAATTTACTAATAAGTGTATATTAAGAAGCAGTTTGACTAACATGAAAACTCAACAATCATGCTTCAATGTAAATTCTTAAAAAAAAGTCAAATATCAATATCTAAATGCATTGTTGTTCCATGCAAGCTATCATAAGGGCTTTGAAACAGTCAATCAACATCAGTTTCTAGTAAGATAACGTTAAGAACCCTTGTCAGTGTCTGCTTTGGCTCTGATATGAGTGAGTGTTGCATGTGCACTTTATTTATGCCCTTTCTCTGCAGAGCATGTTCTTTTCATGGAAAGAGGTATGATATAGTCCTTTCATCATGGAACGAGGCTTTTGAAGTAAAAAAAAGATTGTATCGGACAATATCGACAGCAAACTTTTCACTGCTGTCACTTTTATGCGGTAAAGACTTGTCCAAATCAACATACGCAATATTCTTCAGTGCATATTTCATTGAACACTACATGATGGATTGATGGTGGAACCGGGCACAGTGAAACATTAGGGACAGATATGGATGACTGTTTCGTTAGGACGTTTCAGTGGAAATTTCATTATTATTACGTACAACAACACAATATTTCGAAAAGTAACGACATGGATGGAAACAACCTTCATTAGCTCTTGAAACTTTCTTTAGGCAATGTTCTCCTGGCAAACGTTTAATATCTTTTAGAACCATCTTCACATGGTTAACTGATTTAAATGGAATTTCTAGTTTGGATATTTATCGAATTTATGTGTACAAAAAAAGTTCACATTTCATGATAGTCAAACAATGCTACAAATCACACAACCTATTCCCTCACACCACAACATCATTTCAAGACGGCGGGACAGTGGTTATCGTGTCATTTACTGCAGTCTTGCTTGCTTCACTGGTTGCCCTAGGAGTTGTAGTGCCTTCTGGTGCCGAAGAACCGTCGTTCTGAACTTCGACCGTAGCATTAGATGTAAGAGGAACAGTAGAATTATAAGTTAAGGAAGACAACGTGGTTTGTTCAGTGCTTGTAGAGGAAGTGCTATTCTGCGAAGGAGTTGTGATCTCTGTGTCAGATTTGTTGCTGGTTGAATTGTTCAAGGTGGAATTGTTCGAGGAAGCCTCAGACGTAGAATTATTTGTAGAAGCTTCAGTCAAGGTAGAATTATTTGTAGAAATTTCAGTCGTGGTATTATTATTAGGGGATGCCTCAGTCGCCGTACAGTTAGTAATGATGGTCTCAACTGTGGTACAATTATTACCAGTAGAATTTCCAGTGGTACAATTATTTGTTATAACCTTAGTTATGGTACAATTAGTCCCAGTAGTGTTGAGCATTGTTGTATTAAGAACGTCACATGTGTGATAACATAACCCTGCATTTGAATTGCAAGTTTTCGGTTTGCAAGAGAAGTTTCCAGTTGGTATTGACATAACCATGGCAAGAGACATGCAAGCAGAGCGCTTGTCCGACTTGACAACTCTGCAAGGGACTGACGGGCAGGCAAAACCGCAGAATCCGGATGTGCTGTTGCAAGGCATTGCTTTGCAGGTGAAGTTGCATGGGGTCTTGCAAGTAAGCGATGAAGGGATGTTGTAAGACGGTCTGTCCAAGTTGCAAAACACTTCTTTGCAGACAAAATTGCAGGGTTGGTCAGTGGAGTTGCAAGGTAGAGGTTTACACTCCACTTTGCAGGCCCCTGCCGTGGTGTTGCAGCCGGTGGAATTTGTGAGGCAGGTTGGGACTGGATAAAACACTTCTGCTACCTGCATAAAATATCAGAAAGCAATAATTTTTTACTTTGAAACGTGTAATGCATTAATATTAAAGTTAAAAGTGTTAATGCTATTTTCCAAAACGGAATATTCCTAATTCCTTTTTTAGCTTTAAGTCTTCATTATTTTTTGTTTTAGACTACTTGTTTTTGTAAAATCAAATAGTTTACGAAAATACCTTGTTACTTTGCGTAATTCGTAATTTTCATTTACATTAATACATGTCATGCATATTAATGGTAGTAATTCTTATAAAAACGTCACACGACCTACTGTGAATTTAAAATCTCGAAAATAACACGCCCATTGTACATTCACATCATAGTACTCGTAATTAAAATTGCAACTGAACCAAAATACGAAAAGTAAATTATAACTACAATTTATATTTTTAGTTTTTAAGATTAAAATTTGTTATTCTGATAATAAAAATACAAATTAAAATGCATTTCTTCTCCATTTTCAATTATAGTAGCGTACAAAAGTGAATTCTGATGAAAAACGTCGTTCTTCTAAGTCATTAATCTTTTATATACCACGAGTCTGTATTAGTCTCCTGACCACTACCCAGTTTTAAACGTAGATCCGCTTTAGGGAAAAGCAGAACGCGGGCTGGGGCGCATTGCATGACGTGGCACGACCAAGTTTGAAAATATTATTGAGGCTTTATGTAAAGTAGCACTACAGTAATATCTAAGTGGAAAACTCTAATCTGTCTAATTCGGCCGGGGACAAAAAAAGTTTCGGTTTAGGGAGGTTTCCGTTTTATGCAGGGTTGTCCAAAAGAAACTTAAAAATTTAGATGTATTATGAGGGAGAAGTGCAATCTGTACACTTTCTTAAGCTCAAGGATTTCTATCTTAACAAATAATCATAGTAAGTTGAAGTACGTTGAATTATATTAATATTCATAGTATGTTGAATTAATGCAACATGGCAACGAGCGTTTTTGGCAAGAAATGGTATTAAGATATTGGCTCCGGTGTATTAAGAACTAGGCGAATCGGCTTCAGAGTTTGGCTAAAATTGTCCCTAGAATTGTACGTGAAGGAATCAACTTACAGCAGCGAGAAAAAGAACGATTATTATACATCTCCTACAGCCCCTACATTTTACATACCTTGCCTCGCCAGCCCTGGCGATTTCCGTAATGGTGAACCACCACTGGAGGCACGTGATACCTCGGAATAGCGTGTGACACCGCAGAGACGACCAACGCCGTTTTCAGCCAATCCCAGTTGCCGCGAGGCTGACTGTAACTGCAACACACGAAACAAATTAATGCCACAAGGTTTGAAGAAAACGCATTTCTGCTGTGTTGTCTTTAAACATATTTTTCATCCGCCCCGCCCCCAATGGATCAGTCAACTTGAACGTTTTTTTTAATGCAAATTGTTCTATTGCGAATGCTATTTCGTCATTCTACAGGAACATTAGCAAGTTTTGGAATTCCTGAATATTGTTGTAGCCTATGTTTCTTCGCTTATAGTAAAGTCCATGGAGAGGCCGCACAGTGGTTGATTTCCTTCATCTAGCGGTATTAAAATATTATCAAGAGAACGGTGAAGCCACGTTGTTGAAAATTGTCAGAATTATTCCTTGTGCCATTTTCCATTATTTTGTAAGGGGGAACGAAATATAATAATAAATTTATTGCTCGAGTCTTGATAAGGATTGCCAGGTTATCAATGTTGCAACTCCTTAAGAGATACTCCATGCAATTGCTTACTCATACTAAAGGTTCATGAGACACTATATCAAAATGAAGTAGTATAATTCTAATTCATACTAACAGTGCAAATAAAAATTTATAAAAAGTAATAACAAACTAAAGTTACGGTAGTAGACTAAGACTCTCTGAATCTGCTATTCTACCTTCACGTGACACATCACTCCAGGAACATACACAACTTCAATCCTTCCGTCGGTTGCTGATTACTCAGTTGATAGTCACCAAATTCTTCTTATTACAGATTCAGAAGAAATCAATAGGAATGAAGCATATCTTCATTGCCACGTACTCTAGATGATTTTTGAGTACAACTTTTTTCGACGTGACTTGAAGTCTTTGTGTCGAACTTCCTGCGTGTCTTCGAACAGTTTTCCTATTGGGACAATCATTTCATTAATGACATCAGCGTCATAAATTAATATTTTGTGCATGCTTGAAATACCCATCCGTATAAACTGACATAAACGTTTATTTGTTTCAAATGCGTTTTTTCTGAAAGCATCCGTAGTCACATCACACCCGCTCCTCACTCCTTGTAAAAACAACAGAAGCGGCGACGAGACTTCCATCTATCCCAGTGATGTTAGTATGCTGCTCTAGATTTTGAAACAACTGCCAAACAGTGTTACCATCGTTCGATGTACCACTTCCTTGTTTTGGGATGCACAAACGTAGTTCCTTTTCTTTCGATATTTGAGATTATTTTGTGTTTCTCTGGGATCTTACAGTGTCTTTTTCTTAAATCCATGACCCGCCATTTTTTAAAATATAGTCTGTAAGACGTGAAGAAGGGTTCGAAGAAACGAATTTTACGCTGAAAGACCAACATAAAAGCTTCATTGCGGCAAGGTTTTTTAAAATAATTTATTTAAGATTCTTCATTTTCTATGGAGATGTATCATAAATAAGAACTTATGAGAGGCTGCTTTAACATCAGTGAATTACACTTTTCCCCTCATATATTTAAAATTTGTGATATACAGATATATCTGCACCCAATATTCAATTTGATCTTGAAGCTTCTTAATGTTTTCTTCTAAACGAGCTACTTTCTGATTTGTGCTATGTGTTGTCACCTTCACGAATTTGAATTTAATGGATTGTAAAATCTCGCTGTACTTTTCACCTTTTTGTTCCCTCAAACATGAATATAATTTTTTACGTGTCTACCTTTCGTTGTTTTCTGCGCTTCTTCCTAGACACATAACATTTCGTCACCCAAACATGCTGGGGTCCTTGCTGGAATCTGTCTACCATTCTGTACATGCTTCATTTGTCGCATTGGGCAGGTGAATCTCCGTGTCTTCTCACTTAATACTGCCTCTGGAATACTTCCAAGAAAATTACGAGAAACGTACAACATTAGCAGTTTTCTATTCCATAAATCTGTGGCATAAGAGAGTTCACCCTCACGCAAGAGCTCGAATACCTCCCATCGAGTGACTGTACAATCATCTGTAAAATCGATTTTTTCGAAAAGGGGCAAATTTGGGCAAAAATGGATTTCACCATTTTGTTTCAGAAGGTTTAGATAATACAATCGTGCAAAGACCATTCTTGGCAATTGCTGGCAACTCAAGATAACTCAGTTTAAATTTCCGATCACTAAGAAACCTGTATCAAATATATGGTGATACTTTCTCATAAAAAATACATCCAAAAATTTAAAATTTTCTATTAAACGTTAGTGCATTTTAAAGAACATACTTTCTAGATTCTCGTCAATATCGAACAATGAAGTTATCCTTAACAATTCAGTGGCAATGGGCAATATCACCAAGCGCGTCAAAGCAGGACTTATGCACGGCTGCGCGAGCGGCTCGGAAGAGCTCGCTGAACATACCCCCCATTCTTCTGAGAAATGAATGTTGCACTTATGGGGTCTGGTACAGTTCTGGCAGGACTATTAGGAACCCGCTCACGTAGGTTTTTATTCGTTTCAAGCATATGTATTTTTGATTTAAATACCGCTGGATTCTGGAAATCAACCATTGTGGGCCGGTGTAAAGCAAAGCGGCAGCAAAGTTGACGAGGCATACGAAGCTAAGGTCTTACGGTTTTGCTACTTATTCTTAAAAAAAGCTAATGTTCCCATATCAGCGATCAGCGGTTGGAGCGTTCTAGAAGAATAATTTTGCAACACAACAATGGTCTGGCACTAAAAGTTGCAAAACATCATAACAGAGAGCTCCAACAATGACTGCACGGAAGGACACGCGTCAAAACGCGAGCGCTATGCGCCCAGAATTATGTTGAACGTATAACTTGATGCACTACACTGCCCTTTATGAAAGGAGACCAAAGCGTGTTCCGGCTGGGGGTTTGGAGAAGGGGGGGGGGCGCTGGTGAGCGTCAGTTTTGCCAACTTTGCTAGTACGAAGAGTTACGCATGACAAATCGGTGAACTTATTTTCTGCGCGTAGACCGGCTCAGGGCATCATTGTCACTGCGGTGCCTCTGACCGGGAGGTCCTCTTAGGATACCTACTAGGATTAAAGTCCCGACAGCGGCAGGATTTCGACACGATAGCTAAGTCGAATTCAGCCGTTCTGTGGACGAGGATGCTAGCGGCGGGCTGCTCTGATAGGTAGTTCTCCCTGGTTTCTTCGATCAACACCAGGCGAATGCCGAAGTACCGTAAGAAACGGGCCACGGACCGCGCGCGGTCTTTCCTACCACTTCCTTGTTCCATCCTCATCCTTCACTTGCTCGCATTTACACTTACGTGCACTACATTATCACACATGTTGGGAGCTTAGAAAATATTCCGACTTGCGTGGTGCCCCCCCTGGGGAGATACACTGATTGGCGTAAACACCGCATGCTGACGTGTAGGTTGACGACGGATCACGCCGTCTGGCAGGGAAGTTCACCAGCGATAGAAGCATTCACTACACGTACGGGACGAAGACATTTGCAGTTGACGTACCCGGAAACACTAAACGATCAATCAACCAATCTCTCTGCACTCAGGGTAGCATGCGCATTCACAGGGATGTCCACAGCGGATATAACGGCTAGTGAAATAACGAAGCGGTACGGAGAAAGAGACGTAAGGCGAAACTCCTCTCCTTGTAACTATTGGAATAACTGCAGCAAACACTCGACTGATACACCATGGAAAGGTGCACTTACTGCCTGATTCAAGCGTTGAAATGCTTCATTCCGGAAGTACGAAGAAAGGCGCTATTATCTCACTCAATTTCTGATTCGTGGTCGCTTTAAGGTCTACCCCCATTAATGGCGGTTTCTTTGGGGAGGACAAAGAAGGAAAATCTGCACAATTGTTTTTCTTTAGGTTGGAATTACCAAATAAGATATTTGATTTTTGAAGAAAAATGTGTAACTGAAATAATATCTATGAGGAAATTTGTTTTGATGTAATTTTAAACAAAACATGCTTTTAAGCGACATGAAAACCGCCGAAATCGTTCTGAGGAGGAACTGTCAGTCTTCTTCTTCCTTCCTTCTCCAATACTAACTCTGTGTTAATCCCGTATATCTCACAGCTCTCCCGAGGCTAGAAGAGGAAACATTTTACAATGGAGTTGTGCAGTTTGAAAGAGGAAATCCTCTCCTCTTTAAGTGACTTATACAAATACTCTCTTTAACTGCCATACACTTTCACTAAATCAACCATGTCACTTTCAACTAAATCAATGTATAACGTGACGTGGGTAGGTAGGGAGGCAGAGTACCTTTCCCCCCAACACTATCCTGATTTTCAATAAATGTTAAGAAGGCAAAGCACAAATAACACAGGTCATGACTGATGTACCATTATGTAGTTTCAGATATTAAGAACACTTGTGGAGAAAGGACAATAACTGTAATTTATGAAGAATGCTTAACTATGAAGACTTATTTTTTTTAAATTCAGTGAGTTATTTCACATACCTATTCCAACCTCCACCTCCAAAGCCACCAGGACCTCCAAAGCCACCAGGACCTCCATAGCCACCATGGCCTCCAAAGCCACCAGGACCTCCAAAGCCTCCTGGATAATTGGGTCTGTAATCATGATAACACAGAACAATAATGATGCATTTCTTCCTAAATGATGTAGTGAACATTTATATAATTTATTATGTAACCATCCAATTTTACTTTTGGATTTACAAAATTATCAGTAGTGGAGTAAAACACTAATATTCTATATTGAAGAGAAACTTTCTGAAAAAGTTATTTGCAAAATTTTAAAACACGTTTTCATCTTACCACCGAGTTTAATTTAAATGGAAAATATTTATGTTTTACTGTTTTGTCATTAAGATTCAATAATAATATTCCGACTACACTACTTTTTGAAGGAAATATGGACATACTTTTTATGTTACAAACAAAATTGAAAAAAAATAGTATCATCATAAAAATATGTTTCTAAGTATTTTGTGAAAGAATGTTGCAAAACTGCTGTATATAACATCCCTAACTAAAACTTACCCCTTAAAAATATTAACAAAAAGTTAAATAAAACTCACGTGTTCCAAGATGATCCACCAAAACCACCTGGATAACTTCCTCCAGGTCCTAAACCATTACCACTGTAAGAATCGTAGAGAAACATTCCATAAACATGTGATCAAATTTGTATTTTAATGTTATATTGTATTAGAATTATTAATTAATTAATCTTTAGAAGTATTTTGGAATTCAAAATTATTCGATATAAAATTGCCAAACATGGTCACCCATTTGGATAGTGTTGTCCTGGAATTTGTTGTGAAGGAAAATGCTGATTAGGATACTGATGACCAGGCTGATTTGGATAACTTCCCAAGTTTGAACCGTGAGTGGGTACACCACTGTAAAGTAACAGATAAAGGATTAGTTCATTACATTCAATACATAACACAATGCTCTGTAGCTCAAATACAAACTGTATGCCATATAATATTTCATTTTGCTTTAAAAAGTATTCTAGAAAGTAACCACAAAAAGCATTCTTTAATACATTGATGATCAAAATTGATATTAAGAGTTTAAGATTCCTTTTCATATTTACGTACAAAAAGCAATATTTGAGATAAGATGTCATTCTTTTATATTTTCAACATGAGAGATTTCTGGGGAAAATGTTGAAGTTCGATTGCTCCAAATGCCGCAGAAATAATATTCAGATGAAATTGACGTCTTAAAAATTAGAACAAGAGCTTTCTATTATATCAAATTGAAGATGAAGTCAGAATGCAGTGCAAAATAGAAAATGTCTCACCTGCCAGGAAGATGATTGCCTCCAGGTACATTCCATCCGTAGTTAGGAGGTCCACTTTGTGAACTGAAACAGGTAATTGCGTAATGAGTGGGCAGAATGATTGATGATTAGATCCTTCTAGAGAAATTGTCATTAACAAGAGGTCAATCACAATCATCACTGAATGAGACCAGATCCTATAAAGTTGAGAACAGTGTGTCGTTTAGAATTTAGATTCGTACACCCAGAACAATGCTACAATCAGCTCCGAGATAGGCCTTACAACTATAAGATTCACATATGCTTCATGGACGCATTGGTTTTGCATTTTCCTAAGGTCTAAAGACTTCCTTGGGTTCATCTTCGTGGAGAACGACGGAGCTTTTTGCTGTAAAGTGTTCCCAAGGGAGCGGTAGATACCGCAGGAGTTCTGGTTGGTCACTTAGGTGCCGATAGAAGGAAGCTATAAAGGCAAGACTAGTAAAACTTGCAAAAGCTTTAGAGAAAACAGGGGAAATGTGCCGGGAGCTTCATGTAAAGTTTGAGTTTAAAATTCGCAGGTTCGCGAGTTCAGTCATATCGATTGGGGAATATTCGTTTTGGCGAAAATCCCGTGTGCGGTTTGGCCGTTAGTGTTGTTCACTGATGGACCCACTGACTTTTCAAATAATTTCACTCAAAAGCAGTCAAATGGCCATTATATTTGTTTAATTATTTATATAATAATAATAATAATAATAATAATAATAATAATAATAATAATAACAATAACGCATGTCTCTGTGCATGTGTGTCTATTTCATCATCATCATCATCATCATCATCATCATCATCATCATACCCCATCCCTCAGGGTTTACAACCTTGGGGTGTAAAAATGGAATCAGCATTAAATGCTGATCCCCCCTATTGAAAAGCAACGCGCACCTACCCTGATAATCAAGACTGAGCCCCGTTGGGATGTACATTTCGCGTGGCCCAATGATGTCCGATTCGCAAGAGGAAATAATAACAACAATAACAACAACAAAAATAATCATCATAATGCCGATCACATGGCAGAGATCGCTAACGCAGTAGGGCCTTAGTGGTCCCGAACCAGTAAATCGTGGGTTCGAGTCCCGCCTGGGGCGTGGGTGTATGTGTGTGTCCTCTCACCACTCATAATCATCATTTCATCTTCCATACCCCCAGGTATGAAATACCCCCAGGGCTAACAACCTTGGGGCGTAAAAATGTACTTAGCAGAAATGCTGATCCCCCCCCCCGCAAATAATGTTTTACGCGCAAATCCCCAGGAAAATTATGACTGGGCCTTGGTGGGTTAACTGCACATCCGCGTGGTCTATGGAAAGACCAATTAGCGACGGAAATAATAATAAGCTACATTAAATTTATATTATTTCAATTTTTTATATACAATATATTTTAATGAAAATATATTTTCTTTTAAAGTAAGTAAAAACTAAATTTGTGAATTTGTGCTTTCAGTTTTTGGGGAGGAGCCAAGCTCCTCTTCCCCTATGGGAATATTGTGATTAGTGAAATTGTAACTGGAATTGCTTAATTCAAATATTTCCTAGAAAAGGTTCTGGCTGGAATTGATCAGTTTCAGTGCATGAAAATACATTGATGAGAACGGAAAAATTTTAGTATTACTGAAGTAATTCGTAGAAATAGTCGAAACAAAAATTATTAAAGTCTTTGATTCAACCCATCAAACAATATGTGCCGTTACTCACCTGCCAGGTGCCCTATTGCCTCCAGGAACGTTCCATCCATAAGAGGGAGCACCATTTGATGCACTGGAACACAGGCAGCATTCTTACAATCCAAATTAAATAATTAAGCAAAATTCATTGATTTACGCACTAGTTCTTACAGATAAACGAGCCAAATATAACTACAGACTCTAAACATAACACACATTCTATACAACACAGACTAACTGTTGATATGCTTTGCCTTTCTTTCCATTGGCGTGAATCTATGTACGGAAAGAATAAATGATTAAGTTGTAAATAATTTCAGTATTAAGTGAAATAATTTCACATGTATTTACTTAAATGTCTCAAGGTTATATCTGCAGTATGTAGAGTTGTGAAAAATTGACACCTTCAGGCATTGACGTCAAACTGAAGTCACCCACGGATGTGATGATTCAGACACGGAAGAATGCTCGTCAGAGGAAATGGGAGAGAATCATTTAAGAGCGATTCACACCCGCGCCACCAAATCAATGAGTGCAATTTTCATTCAAGTATTTAGAAAACATCGCTGAAGAAAATTAAGAGAAGGTTGTGGGTTCAAAGTTTAGTTATCAGATAACGATACGGTCAGACAGGTTGTGGGATCTACAACAGGTTACGGAAATATGACCACGGGCTAAAGCTCGATGTAAAAGAACGACACAATAATAGATTGTTGAATGCAAAATCAAAATCAGTGTCCGTTACAAACCACAATGCCGATCCGGTGGCAGAGATCCCTAAGGCAGTAATGCCGTAGCAATCTCGGACCAAAGGATCGCGGGTTCGTGTCCCGACTCGGGCATGGTTGTATTGTGTTCTCCTTTCACCTCCTATCATCATATCGTGTCATTCTCACAGTTACCATACCGTTACAAGCAATAGTGTTCGCTAATGTCTTAGAAGTTGATGCGACCTTAAATAAATAAATAAATAAAAAAAACACACACACACAGTGATAATGAATGTGCAACGACTAGCAGACGCATCTGTCAAGTTGGAAAAGAAAATATTCAGCAATTTAGTTTTTCATCATCGGTCCTATAAAACAATCTGAAGTTCGTTTGCCGATGAAAATATTTTTTATTAAACGGAATAATACATTCTATTTTTTGTTATGGCTACAAAAACATCTTTGATATATTTACTCAAATCCAATCGACCATCAAAAGAGAGGGAGTTTGGACTCTTAAATCTCAAGATAACGGGCTCTCTCCCCTTGTCACACTTTCTATTATTTGGCATGTAATAAATATAATTAAAACAAATATTTCATTGGATTAGTCTTTAGACTAAATCGCGTTCTCAATTAAAACTATGACGATATAGAGTTGTTATTGTTGGGTTTCACAGGAAAACATCGCTGCCTTAAAAGTGATCAACTGATCATAATTCAATTAAACAGAATATGTCGCAAAATACCTTTCTTCTTTCCAAATGAAACAAACAAATTATCGTGGTGATTTCACGGTGAGTTCTCGTAATCGATAAACACAATAGGTGACGACTCACAGGCTGTACAATATGCAGAGCGTACTAGGGTCCTAAATATATTTTCAATCAACTTATACAAGATAGAAGTAATCATTTGTGAATTGCAATTTTTTGTATAATCAGAGCAGCTGTACCGAAAGTCTGGAAGCTAACATTCATGACTTTAAAAAAATTATATGTCTATGAACATTTCTTCATTTACGACTGCTCATTTAAGAAATCATACCTCTGATAGATTCAATTAAAATTCTATTGAAATTTTCTTTACTATTTTACTGAAATGTTGTCGAATAGGAATTCAAAAGCTTAAATTACTTCCTTATTACTGCTCATATTCTGCTGTCAACTGAGAAAAATTCCAACTTACCCGCCAATGTGGTTGTTGCCGGGCACATTCCATCCAGGACTTGGAGCTCCATTTGGAGAACTATTACAAAAGAAAAATATGCAGTCCGAGTTACCGAGTTACACGAAACGTGGATTCTAATTACAGGACAGTCATAGGAAGTAGTAATTTAATACATGCAGGAACAATATTTATCCACTTTTTCGATCTAGATACGTACAAAGTACGTAAGTATATCTGATACGATCTGGTGAAGTATGAAGTCTTTACTTTAGGAGGAAATGTAATCCGTAGCTCCAATCTTCCAACCGTCAGTTTTGAAAGGTTGTGGTTTTGAAAAGTTACTGAAGATCCGTGTAATTGTCAGAGTTTGAAAAACAAAATCCACAGCGGTAGTAAATTTTGTCATGAACTGATGATACAATAAAAACTTTGTTTTAGTATGTCTTTGTAAATTCATGAAACATTCACTAATAAAAAACACAAAAGGAAAGATATTGCGATAAAATGACAAAAATGACGAAATTGAAAATGGCAAAATCAATCATTTACAAGTTAGCAACATCTACAATGCACCAATAAAAAGACATGTCATCAAAATCCGAATTATGCTAATAACCTATCGCAGGTCACAATAAAAGGCACCACGGGCCGCCAATTGGACAATGCTGTGTTAGAGGAAGTAATTTTCAACATAAAGGAACTAGATTCATCTTTTTTTTAGACACCAGGACGAAAAATACGAGCTTTTCTCTAAAAATTCGATGTTTTGTGTCGTTGCTTTAAAATTCTTTCTAAGAGGTATGCCAGAAAGTAAAAATTTGCAGCCCTTTTCTAGTAATTTTTGAAAGATCACAGGATCTTCACGTAAAGTTCTCCCAAAATTAAATATCTTGATTATCCGCGAACGGCACAACTAGATATTATTCCTGTCGTAATTGCCGTGTTTGATCTCTAATCTGCCAGGCATGCTCGACATTTTAAACACGTTAATACCTCATATTATGCAGAGCTATCATCTTACCTGCCAGGTGCGTGGTTGCTGCTGGGCACATTCCAACCTACATTTGGTGCTCCATTGGGCGAACTGCGGTCATAAACCAGAAATGTTCACATCAACAACAAACAGTTCCTCCCCTTTCATTTTCTAACAACGGGAGCAAAGTCCATTAACTTACCCGCCGGGTGCATGATTGGTATTTGGCACATTCCACCCAGCGCTCGGGGCTCCTTGTGATTGACTGCGGAAGAAGTACAATTAGCAACAGAATAGGAATTCATTTCACAAAACAAAGAGTTTTTTTTTCGAGAGAAATGGATTTTCTGACGAGCGAGACATTTTTGTCAGGTAGATAAAGTATCTTTAGAGTAACATACATTACTTGATTTTATTACATTCGTTTTATTACAACACAAAATTTTCAAAAATGTCCTCATACGTGAAAGTGAATAGTTTGCAACAGCAATGAGTGGCCGCCTTTATCATCCATAGGCGATAAAGAGTTACTTTATCAATTGACGAGTTTTAACCTTCTGAATAGCATAAATAAAGTAATAATCTGCAAATAGATAGAGTACTTACCCGATTGGATTGTGAGGTGTGTGAGGAATATTTCCTCCTGAATTGGGGCTACCGGGTCTGAAAATAAATGAATATTTTGTTGAAATATTTATTTAATACAATTGCACAAATTAAATTGTAAAGATATAATTGATATAATCAGAGAAAGGTTCGAAATATCGAGAATTCAAATCCATAACTAATTTATATTAAATCTGACAATTGATTGATTAGTACAGCCATTTCTTTGCCAATAGCTCAGTGTCTAAGTTCTCGTGTTGAAGGTAACTTGCTGACCATTGTCTCACTTTTTTGTTCTTATGTATGCTTAAAGAAGCACTGCTTGGTTGAAAGTATTATCATTTTTCTGTCGGATCACTTTTAACGCAAATGAACAAAAATTATATTCAAATTTGATCACGTTGATCTGCAGTGTATGCAATTTGCAGGCAAAATAGACAACACATTACTATTAGAAATATACCGCGATAACTTCGTTTCTTGCAGGGACCATACGTATGAATTGTTATATTTAGTGGTTGGGGTGGAGTGGAAGTAGACGGCCGATTTTGGTTGCAGGAAAAAGACATGTTATTCTGGAAGGGCCAGGATGGCGACGGCAAACATTCGGCAGTAGTTGTGTTCAATCCAAGCAGCTAGCAGGGTTGGTGTGTTTGTGAGTGACAAAGAGAGGGAATGCTTCCAGGTATCTCCCCCGAACGCGAAGTCTTAAGTTACTGACACATGTAGTTCACGTTAGTGTCTCTGTGTAAGGGGGAGGGAAGGATGAGAAAGGAATGTTCGCGCGAGGTCCACCTAGAACCTCCGTTTGCTACGATACCTGACCGTGTGTTAGGGCAGCTGACCGTTCAACTATCCAACTATGTAGCTAGTGTCGAAAATTCGCCAAAGTTGGAATTGAAACCCTAGGACCAGTCGGTCTGTGATGCCGTAGGGGTAAGGGAGTTACCTCTGAGCCATTGCAGATGATAGGGATCGTAGCGAAACTTCTCAAGCCGATTCCTAACAAAGATGGCCACGACTTCGCTTGGTGCGCGTGTTTTTCTCGTTAGAGTTGCACTTTGCACTTTGTGCATCTACGCTAGTGGACATATGTATTAACCACTACATCAATTGCAATTTATATCGTGTTATCAAACTATGAACATAAACTCACATTTTAAAAATTCATTTCAACGGATTTTTTGTATTTTAATTGATGGATTAGTGATTCCGGGATTAGTGATAAGGTGTTTAGTGCCGTAAGTGTAGGGCATGTGTGTTTCCTCGGGAGGGGGGCGGAGATCGTCCCTCGCTCGATGGCGAGATCCGGCGCCGACCTACCGTCGCGTCGGCTAGCGTGGTTTTCCTCAACCAGGTATCTCCCACCAGTGGGGCACCACCCCAGCCGGGACAAGATCTAAGCTCCCGGCGTGTGTGGTAGTGTAGCACATGTAAGTGTTAGTGTGTGTAAGGGGGTGAGGGATAGAACAAGTAAAGCGAAGGAAAGATCACCCGCGGTCCATGGCCCGTTTGTTAGGGAGGTGCTCCGGCATTGCCAGGAGAAACCACGGAAAACTACCTATCAGAGACGCTGCCCTCTGAAAACCTCCAGACAGCGGTCTATTTAGGTAGTGTCGAAGATCCTGCCTCCGTCGACACTCGAATCTAGGACCTCCCAGTTAGAGGATTTTCGGTTACATCAGTTCATGCCCTGAGCCACCTCTCCAGGTTTGGAGTATTTGAGAATGTCTAGTGAAGTTACATTCGCTGCCGCTGTGATCGCGCTTTGATGGTAAAGAACGGCGGTGGGTAGAAGTGGCATTAGTTCGTCTAAGAATATCTTGACGGGAATGGTCCATGGTTTCTCTGATCAATACCAGATGAATTCTGGGACTGTGTTCTAAAAAACGGACACGTATCCTAAGAAACTTATTCAGATTTCATTTAATAATATTCTTGTCGTTTCTGTGGACATTTTCTTATCAAACCTAGCAATTCTGTCGTTGTTCATCGATCATTAAAAAAGTTAAGTAATATTTAATAAATCCTAATCTCACCAGATTAATATTTTGATTGTGAAAAATATCTGTGAAACATACTATTTGGCTAGTTAATCAGATTTTATGCGTATTTACATGGACATCTGCACATATTCTTGCGAAAAACGCTCTATTTCAGAGAGATAAATTGAAGTCCATTTGTACATATCAATATTGTAAATTTAATATGATTTATGTGAACAAAATAGAGGTCGTACTGATCAAAACTGCAAAATATGTACAGTTCCATTTGTACTCCCCGGAAGGGGCGTAGTTTAATAGTACAATAAATTTTTCGGGCAGGTGTTCAATTTTAGAAGGTGGTTTCATAACAGGAGGAAATGTTGGAATTTAATAACAGAGCAGTTGATGAAGAGTGAACCAAACGACTACTTACGGGCTCCATCCAATATGGCTGCTGCCTCCAGTCTGATAACCGCTGCTGCTGCTTCCACCTCGGGATCCACTGATCGAAAAGAAACGAACATAATAATAATAATAATAATAATAATAATAATAATAATAATAATAATAATAATAATAATAATGGTTATACGTTTTGGTTAACTGTTTAAAAGAATTCATTCATCAGCCGGCAATCGAACCCGGATCTCTCTATGCTCATTTGCTCTAATCACTTCGGCAACTAAGACAGTCAACGCTTCAAAGACCTCTTAGGGGTTAATTATTCCATTTAAGCACCTGAGTTTTAAAGTACCTAAACTGGGCTTTTGGAGTTTTCCAGGCATCCGTGGAGGTGACAATTAGTTCATTCAATTGCTCATGACAAAATGAATCGATTGAAAATATTTTTAAGGGGATCCTCTTAGATTACTTTGGAATAATTCACGAAAAAAACATTTCGGTGATTTTCAAGACGAATGGTGAAACTTTGTGAATTACTATATAACCTTTCCGGCATAATATTAATCGTTACTTCATCAGATTGACGAAATGAATCTAATATTGTAATGAAACAAAAATAGTAGTATTTCTATTGGTTATTTTTCTCACTCGACGACAGCGGGTGAACGGGGATTACACGTATTATGTTCAAAGTTTTTTATTTCGAACTTGCACGGCTCAAATGGTCGTTTTTAAAATGAAAAATATCACCGAAGGGGAGATTTCCCTTATCCGCGAGTGGATTCGCTTCTGGGTAATATTTACTCTTTAATTATTTATGGCAAACGAAATTACTGTGTAGCCAGTGCTGCGTCGAGCAAGGAAAATCAAAATCTGCGGTCGGTATAGAAAAACACGACCAGCAGGCGAGCTAAGGTGCGAGGTATTCTCAACAATGGTTATAGAGATATTGTGCCTATCAATTGGCGGTAATTATGGTGTAATTGATGTCACAATTTTTGAAGTATTTAATTCTTCAGACACATTATTTATTTCACGCCAATTGCGATGGACATTCAACGTTATGGATGGTGTTACACATGGGAGAACGCATTTCATAACAGGTTTTCTAAAAAATAATTTCCGCTTCTGCCCGAGACCTTCCTACATCCTCTGCTGGGAGAGGAAGTAGTTCACCACTTCCATGCAGAGCACATGGTAAAAACAACAGAAAACATTGCACCGCAGTACATCCTGTCAAAAAGGTACTCAACTGTTTGAAAAATCTGGTACGTAGGACAGTGTCATCTAATGGAGTATTTGTGTAATTTTTCCTTCCAAGTTCTTAAGGAAAAACATTATTTTTTTAAAGACTTAAAAAAAACAACTGTAGACGTATGTGATATATGAGAGAGAAGTATAATTATCGCAGGTTTCTTTACAGCTAGCTTCAGAAATCGAGAGATCTTGAGATCCAGAATTGTCATAGGATTTTGTAGGTATTCGCAGGTATGGTGTGTCATACTATTGCGACATAAGCCTAGCAAGTTATACATAATAATAACAAAGGCAAGTAGAGAAGAAAATATCGACAACACTTCGACCATTTGCTGAAACAATGGGGGCCGCTCAAAATTTTGTAATAGTAAATTATTTGTGAGACGAGATAGTTTTCGCAGTCACTTTTCAACAGCTATAGCTTACTATGCCGTATCTTAAATACGGTTTGATATTCTTTTATTGACAGAAACAAAGTGATTCGATTTCGTGACGTTTAGATTCAATGCACGACCTTCAAACGTCTCTCCAGACAACACACTTTTTTGACTTCCTACTGTTGACTTACATGGACGTACAAAACGAGCATCATTTTTGCCGTCAACCCATAGATTTATTGCGTGGCTTTTTTAAAAAAATTGTTACGTATATATAGGCGCAACGCGTCTCAAATCAATCCTACCACCAAAATAAATTTATTTTAGAGTCTGCCTTATGACAGGAAATTGTTGAATTTGTTTCATAATGAAATAAAATGTCTGGCCACTATTTTCTAAAAGGATACATTTGAATCAATTTTAGCAACGTGTCATTTCATTATTTCAGAGGCAACAAACTTGACATTATATTGCAACATACACGTCTTGACATTTGTATTTATCCACCACTAAGTACACCAACCAGACAAATGGCCAGATACTGTACACTATTCAATACTTCTGATGCCACTAGCTCCTTGCATCTCGGTGCATTGCGATGCATTGTCCAAGCGTGGTGCTCGGTGCCTTGCTCACCTTGAAGAGTAAACATCATCGTGTTGTTCTTTTACAACGGTCACTTCTGAGAACACGCCACTTACGCTTTTAGCGCATCTTCCTCAGTTTCTGCAGAAGCGATACGTACATAAAACATTCTCTAAGTCGGATATGGTTCGCAGAATTTTCAAAATATTTTCAAACAGTTCCGCTTTTTTATATTTCTGTACCTTCCTTCCCATGAAAACGTTAATCAATCCATCTTGGTACTACGGGTTGTGTAACTAACTGTCCTTGAAATATGCCTAGACATCGGATGTTAAGGCACTAAAAATTACGTTTTAGGCGCCTAAAAAGGCACTACATTTTTAAAATAGGAACTGTAAAAGGCATTAAAACTTAAAATTGGAAGAAAAAAACAATATTTCACAGCACTAGTATCTAAAATTAGCCAATACAAAAAACAAAATAACATGAGAGAATAGACTATTAAAAAATCATTAGTGAGTGAGAGACTTTGGCATCTTTATTGGATTGTTCTCGTTTACTATGAGACACTGATGTACTGCGCGTGGTGCCCGACTGAGTCAACTGCGCGCAGAATGAAGACTCATCTCACGCCCGGCAGAGAGGGCACCCCGGAAGAAACACGGGTCTGGCACGGGAAGATATCAATGTTGCAAGTGGAGATCAAAATTTTGCCCCCCGAGGCACGAGTGCTTTGATTACTTCGCGAACAGGTGCTCAGCGCTCACGTAAGCGCCCACCGCTCAACCAAGTGCCCAGAAATCTCCGGTTTTTAGTTTATAATATTTGTGAAAATAAATGTGAGAGAGAACTCTGAAGTCACAATGCAAGCTTTCCGATTCCAAACATTCAGTGACCTACAAACCCAAATGACAGCTTCAGTCGAGACAATGGAAATTAAAATGATTTCAACTTGTTTTTGTAACCAAGAATAAAATGAAATTATATATAAATTTTAAGAAAAAAGCATTTAAGAAGGAAAAATACTTGTAAAAAGCCATTTATGTTTCAAAAGATAAAAAAAGGCAAAATAAAAATATGTCAGAATGTTTAGTTTTCCATCATTCAAATCCATATTTTAATTGCTTTTAAATATTTTCTTTAGAATAAAATAGGCTTTTTCCTAAACATCCGATTTCTAATTATGACTCAAGGCTCTGCTTAAATCTGTAATGGTCGTTTAGGATTTCGACTTTCCGGCTTCAGTAAATGTGCCTGTGAAATTAAGAGAAGTTGTGTTAAATATTTAAAAAAAATATAGATTTTTCGAAACGACACCTCAGAATAGGTAGTAATACAAAAGAGCAAACTTACGTACAAGTTGTCTAGTGCACTACCTACGTAAGTTTCCTGTTCTGCAAGGACTTGGCCAATAAATATTCTTCTCTATTATTCACGTTTCATATTGAACTTGTCTGTATTGTGAATGCGGATAGAGATGTGAGTACTCTCGATTTAAGAATTATCCCAGCGCAAGTCAAATAGTGTTGCATCTTATGATTCACACAAAATCTGTATTGATTCCTAAATAACAGATTTACGAAGTGAGAGTCATTTAAATTTTCGTCAGAAATTTGGGCTTGATCACAAGTTTGGTTAGTCACATCTAGACGGTTTCTGCGTTTTTGAACGTTTTTTTTCTCTTGACAAATCGATGATTTTTCTAGATTTAAAAGAAACAATAAGTGAAATAATTAATAACTAAAATATAAAGATGATTTAAATGCCAACGTCTTGTGAGCTAGAGATTAAAAGCTGCAAACGCCAAATGAAATCATGATTGCTTGATTTAAAAAAGGTAGATACCATTGCGCTTCTTAATTGCCATGAAGAATATGGCTTAGAACCAGTTATCCCAATTTAGGCACTGCACTTAGGTGCAATGTAGGCATTGTACCTAGCATTGACGCCATCTGTGACTTCTGCCAACTGTGATATATCTTTTAGCAAAATGAAAAAAAAAATTACGATCGCAAATTGGTCAATAACGTTTGAGTAATCTTGCTATACTATTGATTGAGTACGACATTGCAAAAAGTATTAATGTAGACCATATAATTGACAAATTGGCTTTAGGAAAAGCCGGAAAAATAAACTATTAAGATATGTCATTCCTAAATGATAGAACTCGTATTGTATTGTTTCTCTTCCTAAATAATAGTAAGCAAGAACTAATTTTATGCTTAAATGTATACATAAGTTAAATATAAATTATACAATCAAAGTTATTACGTTGCTCCTATTCCTAGAGAATAGGGCGCAAAATTCAAATCTTGCGAGGGGCGTTCTACGACTCTGCAAGCACCCCAGCCCCCTAGCCCCCCAATAGAGGTGCCGTAAAATCCTCTCGGGAAGTTGCAGATCTCGTTTCGCTGACTGCGTCGGCTAACGGGAAATGCGAAGGAAAAGTTCTGCACGCGATGCTCTACTGAGCAACAGGGTCTTCGTTTCGAGAATGCGCAATGTTTCCACCGAGTTGCAATGGATGAGTTTATGATTTTTCAGCAATAAAATGCTTTAAAAGGGCAGTTATGAACAGTAACGTACGAAACGTTTCATATTAATTCAATCTGTGATTTCAAATGAGAAATAAATCCCCTTTTTCGTAAAAAGAGATGAGATATACATTTCCTTTGTTATTATTCAAGCTGTAGGTCAGTGTAAAAATGAAACTTGTTCAATTCAGTTTAATGTTCAGCTTAAAGTATGTGTTCTATTGCAAACTAAAAAATTTAATGACTGGAAAAGAAAAAGAAGTCCAGTTTTTGTTTCTGATACTCATACAGAAGAACTAGTATTATCAGCTAGGAAACTCCTAAAAGCTTCATGATAACATTAAAAGGCACTGAGGACATCATAGACTTTCAAACCTGGTGGTCGAACTATTTTAAGACGACAACCGATTCTCTTGCCCGTACTGGCTGTCCTCATTGTGAGCTTGGTGTGACTCTTTCCAAGTAAAGCAGCTAACGTAAGATAATATTTTGGTTGCCTCGCGGCACTTGAGTACCTATATTGATAGATATGAATACTCATGTAGGCAAAAGGGAAGGCACGTTCACATTTGTCTTTCAAGAAAGTTTATGGCTCAGTTGTTCATCCAAACAACATAAAGAAAATAACTGGTGTTCAAAACTCGGTAAAATACATCCCAGATCAATATCTCTATTTCTACCAAAATGTTTTGACGTAGCCACACAATCACGTGGAAATCAACAATTAGTTGATGATATTTTTAATTTAGTAAAAGTATTTTTCATGTCCACATAATACAATATATTAATTCACATCATTATATATTTATTCTACGATTATATTGTTTCATTAAGTCCAAAAATAAAGCAAAGAAATCATAATTATTTTATAAAGGAAATAAGCCCTGTGTGTAAAAACAGTTCTGTACGTCACAGAAATGCAAATTTGAAGTCATAGAGTAGCGCTTACAATCATGGTGGATGGTAATCAATTGATAAATTTTATGCAATTACTAGAGAGTAACCCGTCAAAACTCTCTGAAGAAATAAAACTTCTATATCAATAATTTATTATAAAGAATATTAGAACACACTTTAATTTCTTTAACACTAAATTTGAAGCTTTTTAATTTCTAAATTTTCTTTATTATCTTTTATACAAGTATGTCGTCAGATCGGGGATCTTTTGGGGGACCGCGGAGCGATTTCATGGAAACTCTGAAAGGGCCTTCAAGTGAAATTTTGGGCCATTTATGACTGCTGCCATTGGTCACTACGTCCCATGAAAGAATCGAATTTAGTGTCTCTGATACGCAGTTACAGCAGGCCGGTTTCTCGGAATCGAACCGCGTGTGTCTCAAAGAATAGGCCCGCAGTTTTCTCTTCCGTTTCTCTGCCACGGGCGCAGGAGCTCGGTCTCGTCTCTTCAGGGTTGCTCTCCTCTGTCGGTCGTCTTTTTATTTCCTTTCCTCATTTTTGGGTTTACAAAAATTGTTCCATGACATACGCTCTTCGTGATAAATCTATATTCTATGTTTATTTTACTAATTGGTAGTGATTCCGTTGAACCTGACAGTGCTTTCACAATTCTATTGCATTTCCTGTAGCTATAATTGCCAGATGTCCAGTTTTCCACCGGATTGTCCGATTTTTGTCATTTCCGTCAGGTCAAGAGAATCTTGGTTAACGGATAAAAGATTGGTTGTTAGGACATTTAGTGTAATATCTAGCTGGAGCCACGACATATCAACTCAAAATATCTGACTGCGCCAATCAACTACTACAAGCCAGCAAGTAGGATTGTAGATTGTGTTTGTAGTTGTAAGGTAGATAGATAGATAGATAGCGTGCTGAGCCGTCGCTACTCCCACTTCGGCATGTCTCAGACGCGCGAGAGTCAGCGTTCAGTCGGTCAAACCTTTTCATTTTCAGTAACTTTTATGACATATTTTTTCTTTCGAACACATCTGGCAACCCTATCCGTAGCATGTCCCTAATATCCGATCTTGCAGTACATCTCTAGCGCAAGTCGCGGTCAGGGATATTTAATCCTTCCGGCCCCGCAGCTCTCGAGTTCCGAAGCGTGCGAATGCCAGAGCATGAGGCCACCGTCTTCCCTGCACGGAGTCTCAGCGGAGCGAATGTAGTCCGTAGGAGCGAATGCTGCCCTCCTCCACCGCCCCCCTCTGCGTCACGCAAACTGCGAAACCGAATTGCCAGCCGCGAAAACTACCCAATTGTACGGTCAGATGTCATGCCAATAGCACCACACTGTTATTCTCGGTCGGTTTTTAATTTTATGTGGCTTATTTCATACCAGCAATAATTTTTCTCCGCTTATTCTTAACATACAAGTAATAATATAGAAAAAAAAGCCCAAACCAACTTTTTATCAAGTTTCAGTTGGTCAAATATAACTACACAATCTCGTTAACGCAGGAAATCATGTTGAAGCTGTAACTGGAGATTTTAATGGATCTTTATCTCAGACGAATTCAATGTACGAGCAACGCAATATACATCTTATTTTTCCCTTTCACAAACATAAGGGACACAATAAGCTACATACAATTAGATTTCAATGCAAATGTCTCGTTTCCAGTACAAAATAATTTGCACAAATTGTTAATAGTTAGTTGATAGAAGATTGAGATGTTCTACGACATTTTGCTCCAATATGATTCAGGGAGGGAGACAAAAAATGTGTGAACTATTATGATGGTTACTGCAGAATAATAAAAAGATGAAAATATAATTTTTCAAATTTAAAAATGTAATAATTGTGGTGTTCGATGATATCAACATATTAGCTCTTATTTCATATTGAGTTAGAACTGCTGGGTGAAATTTTACCAGCTGAGATAAAATTGAAAACTGGAAATCAAAACAAATTGAATGAAAGAAAGTAAGGAATAAAGGAACGATTATTACTGTTTGAATTCATGAAATTCTTTATATCCAAAGAGTTGTGCAGTAATTCGAGAGTTAATTTATTTTGTTACAAAAGTTTTCCCTCCGATCATTCATCACTTAATTCTGATCTATTACAATACTTTGGAAGTAGTTATAGTGAATGTTGGTTTGGGTGAATATAAATAATTATTGGAGTACTATTTTGAATTCATGGTTTGGTGAGTGTGGTGAGGACGTTGTTAACTGAACTGATTATCTACGCTCCGTGAGGTCACGGATGTTAAGCAACTCGAGGCTCCGCGGAGCCCTAGGCGAGTGACCGTCTGGGAACCCCCGCTACTAAACGGCGCCGAGCCCCTGAGCGAAGGGATAAAAGGCACTGACTGCCACGTGACAAACCTTGACGAAAAACAACAATTGAGGATTACTCCAGGTGCTCTGTCCCCTATAGGGGTTAAGAGGCGCGTTGCATCGCAAAGACGCTACAATTAAAAAAAAAATGCTGTTACCTGGTGCTATCGTGGCTTGAGCTTCCACTGTGGCTGGAGCCCCCGGTGTGGCTGGATCCCCCGGTGTGGCTGGATCCCCCGGTGTGGCTGGAACCTCCAGTGTGGCTGGAGCCGCCGCCGCCGCGACTGCCGCCCCCACCGCGGCTGCCACCGCCGCCGCGACTCCCGCCGCCGCCCCGACTTCTGCCACCGCCGCCACTCCTCCGCCCATCCACCACCAGGGGCGCTGTTAGCAGCGACACCAGCAGCACTGGACAGCGGGGGGAACGCTTGTGAAGAAAATGGCGAGGAGATGGTTGGAGAATTACAAATTGCTCAGGTGATTGATTAGTGATTTCGGTCGCACCAACGGAGAAGATCCTTAGTCTCGTAAGTGTAGTGCATGGTTTTATCGCGGGGGTGGCGGTGATCATCTGCTGTTTGGCCAAATCCGGTGCCGACCTATACGTCGGCTAGGGAAGTTTTCCCTAACCAGGTATCTCCCAGCACCGCTCCAGCCGGGACAACCTCTAAGCTCCCGACCGGACTCCCGGCATGTGTGGTTATGTACTGCATGTAAGAGTGTGCGAGTAAGGGGTGAAGATATGATAAAGAAGGGGAAGGAAAGATCGCGCGCGGTACGTAGCCCGTTTGTTAGGGTACTGCTCTGGCATTCACCTGAATTTGATAAGAGAAATCACAGAAAACTACTGATTAGAGCAGACGGCCGCTAAACTTCTCCTTCAGAGTCCAAAGTTCTGTCAACGTCGGTACTCGAACTCTAAGACCTTCCGATCAGAGAGAAACTGCAGTGACATCAGTTGATGCCCTGAGCCACCTACGCCCTTACAAGTTGCACAAAATAAATGCTTTAGAAAAAGTAAAAATTCAATTAAGACAAAAAATCACTTCATGAACTAATTCAAGACATTAATTAAGAACAGACAGTAAGTTTTAGGAAGACTGCCATAAAATGAGTCAAATTATCGATACGTAATTTTTTGACTAAGCAAATAATTTTGCATTGCACTTTTGTTCTACACATTTCTATTTAGAAGAAATATATTTATATCTTTATTCGGACTCTCCAATTTTCTTTAATTTCATTCCTTTCTTCATTTAAATCTCCCAGTGACCCAATGGTGTCACTTTTTTAAACGTGCAAAACATGGCGACGCAGAAAGGCGTCTATTCATAATTTGGCAGGTTGTTATGAAAACGTAATTATTTTTATTTAAAACAGGTATTAACTTATCTCAAAAACACATTTAAATACTTTTGTAATTAATTACATATCGTTGGAAATAACATAAAATTTGCTGGAAACGTTCTTTAAATTAATGGCGAAGAGTCGACATTCTATAAGAATATTTTTATTAGAAAAATAAATTTAAAAAAGTTCAGCAAAACGACTGAACAATGTTTATCAAAGTGTAAAATTAGAAAAATATTATTTCGTCAAACAATGTCAAAATGTCGCAGAATCTTCAGCTGTGCAAAATATCGCTATTTTACAGTTAACCACTTTCTAGCAAGGGTACATCATAAAATCAAATTTAACATAACGCAGTAGTTTACCCTTACGAGTGATCGAGTGAGCATTAACTTTCCTGAAAGATTGCAATATCCATCAGGTACAGTGCGATGAAAAAGAACTGTAGGAAGATCAGAAAACGACAAACAAGAACACAGAAAGGACAAAGACGACGTAATCAACTAAGAAGTCGTTTACCGATATAAACAACTTGAAATCAGAAATCACTTAGAGCGAAATGGTCCTTACACATTACGATCACGTGATAGTTGACGTACGTGCACCATCTCGCCCGGGAAGGGCGAGTGTGACCGTCGGCGCTAAAATTCTGAAGACGGAAACGTGTGGACCTCTAATATTTTATGGATTCCTGGTATTTGCGAAACTTACGGGCATAGTTTTATTAAACTTGTAAAGGTGAAAGTTGTTTTCCTCTTGCAGGAGACGCACAAACCCCTTCGGATAACACAGCAAGCACTTCCACGATAAATAGAAATCCTAAACATTATCTGTTGTTTCTGTGACTTTTTTATTTTACGAGTTAAGATACGCAAAAATGGTGGGTCCGTACGGCATTTGTACGTGCAGCATATAGTATTTTGTTTTGTGGTTAATGATGAAATATGCTTTGCGGACTAGTGTGTGTGTGTGTGTGTATGTGTGTGTGTGTGTGTATGTGTGTGTGTGTGTGTATGTGTGTATGTGTGTGTGTGTGTGTGTGTGTGTGCGCGCGCGCGCGTACATGTACGGTGACAAAAGGGAACAAAGAAGAAGCTGAAAAGATTGCGCGCGAACCGCGCTCTGACTCCGCCTACATTCGTGAAACACTGATTTGCAATTCACTCGCGCAAGCATAACTGCGAGTGAAGAAGGCCTTGCCAGGTTCTTTGCTTTGCTGCGGCAAGCGAAAGAAATCAATGACTGCGACATACTTGAAAATAGTTCTAACAAATATCTTGCCCGTTATTTCGATTAGGAAACACAAACGGGCGCTATTCTTGTCTGCGTGAGACATTTTGAGACCAGAGATTGGTCTCTATTCCTAAAAGCAAATGTCGAGTTAATTCGCAGAAATCCAGTGTAATAAACGAATGACAAAACAACTGAATGCACGTGATGTTTGCACAGCCATCAGTGAAAACTAAAACCATTACTATTCGTTTGTACCCATTTGTTCTACAACATCATTCGCTTGTACCTAACCACTTATAAGTTAGTGCACTCTCAATTATGGTGGTGCCAATACCACTGTGGCACCGCCATCTTCGTAAGAAAATTTGGATTCATTCTAAATCGTCTGCACTTAATTGTTTGCCCCAGAACTCTCGTTTGTACCAAATAAGTTGTTCAAAACCGTTAATTTTCTTTACCGTTTTATATAACGAAACGATTTACAGTCACGTATGTTACAAATAAATAATAAAACTATCTTTTGTCAATGAAAAATTATATGGGATGAAAATTTATGTTGAACATCGATATCCTAGAGCAAAATATCAATTCTTCTCTTCCAATTATTTACAAATAATGATTTAAATGCTCCAAGCACATATACAAGTACCTATTGTTAATTTTAATGTAATAAATGACTGAGTATTTGACTAGCGATTGGCGTGAACATTATACTGTACGATATGACGAAGTTTTGCCTGAAAGGAAGTTCCTCACTTGGATTTCGATATCTCTCTGGCAATTCTGCGCGCATCTCGCTGTGAAGCAAGTCCAAACGGAAAATTAAGAATAGGAAGATGGTTCAGGAACTGTCTACCCTGAGGCAGGCTATCCGTTTGGGTTTCTCCGGTCGTTGATTCAACGGGACAAGTTATACCTTCCACCTTGAAAAATCCCAGCATTGAAAACGTTAGGTTCTTAGGAGTATATTCTAGATTCAATACTTCGATTAAAATACGAAATACTTTCAAGGTCACGAACTGAAAAGTGATAGGGTTACTGTTATCCAATCAATTACCAACAATTTAAGTCATAACGAAACTATCGATTCAACGACAGTGCCCCCTCTCCTTCAAGCTCGTGACCTCGAAAGAACTTCCCGATTTAATTAAAAAATACGAAAATATTCACCCTTTCCTTACAATTTTCTTCAATGGATAGACAGTGTCTACCCTTCGATGCATTTGTAGTGGCGCTTAACGTAAATCAGCTGTTACGGTGTCATCCAATCGCGAGCTTGAACGTCAGCACAATGACGTCACTGTAGTGATTTTCAAGTTCCCGATTGGATGACACCGTCAACAACGGCTTTACCTCAAGCGCCACTACAATTAAATCCAAGTATACAGGGTCTCTTTCAACGTCAGTTAGCGCTCTTCAAAAACTTGTTGAATGTGCAATTTGGCTCTGATTAAGCAAATGATGAGTAGCTACAATTGGACTGGTCATTGTTTATATATTTCCGCCTTTAGTACTGATTCATTTCTCATTAATCACGTGAAATATAAAGCTGATCTCATTTCACCATTAAGTTACTAAAATCTTTCTACACATGCTGAGTTTCAGCCATCTCTACATTTCTCGCCCGCAAGAAAAAATATCTCCTGTTCTAATGACCTATTTAAATTAAATCATCATTACCTACCTAATTTAGCCTACGTTTAATAATTTTCTTAATATCTTTAGGAAGTGGAATTTTGCAAAATTGTCAGAAATAATATTTTAAAAAAACATTAATAACACAGAATCCTTAACTTTTGATTGCTTAAAAGGTAAGTCGTATCACATTAAATACAAATCTAATGAAAGTTTTATTATAGAAATAAAGTGTTTCTTTTGTATACACATTTTCATAAAAGAAACGTGTTATTCGAAGTTTCAGTACAATACGTAGCAATTAATATTTTGTCGAAAAACGAAAGAAATGTTTACCGCATAAATGTACCCTTTGAATGGTTAAGTGACGGCCTGAATCTCCGCGTTTTGTAGTTGCCTCGCTGAACATTCCATGTGGAACTAACGACCAAAACACTGTTGCGGCGAATTCAGCTTGTCATTCTGGCATTGTTCGACGCTTCGGACCGCTCCTCACGATCATTCACCGAAATTACGAGTTCAGAACTTCAGAGGCAGAGGTTTTCTTTCACGTTCATATCCCAAATATCCCAGTACTCCCATTCTCGTTAGGCAATGTCAGTAGAAAAAATTAGAAAAACCTTTCCCTCATAGTACGTAAGTCCTCCCATTACAATGGGGCAGATGTAGTAAAAATGCATTGAAAAATGATGGAAGTCTGAAACTAATAATGTTGACGTGGTAACAACTTCTAACTTAATCGGTTTTGTGATATTTCAATTCAATATTAGTTTATACTAATCCCACAAGGGCGTCTGGGACTCTACACAGTTAAGCAGCCGATTTTTGACAACGCGAAAACATAAAATTGTTCACCATGGAACTTCGTCCATGGATTTTCGACAGCTCATATTATCAGGGACACCCTTTCAAGAAATATTTACAGAGCAATCACCTAAGTCTAATTTACACGAATATTTTGTTGTTGTTGTTGTCGTTGCTGCAATGTAATGTACAAAAGAACTTGCATTATCCGGAATAATGACAGAAAAGGAGATTTATCGTTCATAGAAATCTCCGTTTAACTGAAATATTTTTTCATTGGTTCAAATGTGTTAGTTGAAAGGTTATTTAAGAAATGTAAAAAAAATACTTAATAATA